AATTCTTCTTTTGGAAAACAAGCATTAATAAATGAAATGGAAATAATGCGAAAAGTAAATAATCCGTATATTATTAAATTATATGAAGTATATGAAAGCTAAAATTCGATTTATTTTATATTAGAAAGTTTAATTGGAGGCGAATTAATGGAAAGATTAAAAAAATATACTTCTATAAAAGAATATGATATTTAATAAATTATGAAAAATCTTTTAATTGGAATAGAACATTTACATTCTATTGGAATTATGCATAGAGATCTTAAACCATAGAATTTATTACTTAGGTGTAAAACTAATAATTATGGAATTGTTTTGGCGGATTTGGGATTAGCGACTTATTAAAAGAATGAGAATTAATTCCTTAAGAGATGTGGAACGCCTGGTTATATAGCACCTGAGGTATTAAAATATAAGGTAATTTTTTTATTTATATATTTATTATAGAGCCATATATATATAAATTAATATAAAAGAATTTTTTATTTTTATAATTTTTTTTTTTTAATTAATTAAAATAAATATTTAATTTTCTATTAAATAAAAAATATAAATAAATATGTAAAATTATAATAAATAAATAAATAAATAAATAAATAACTAAAAACATTAATTAAAATATTTAATAAGAATAACAATATTATAGGTGAAAACTTTTCTTTTTTTTTTTAAAAAAAAATAAAATATAATTTATATTAATTAATTTAAAAATTTATTTATTTAAAATATAGGATAATGACCCCATATATGGATTAAAATGTGACATATTTTCTGCAGGAATTATATTTTATTTACTTTTGACCGGAAAAGTTCCTTTTTAAGCCTAAAACTATAAAAATGTAATAACTTTAAACAAATTTTGTTAAATAAACTACGATATTCTTGAATTAAAAAATGTGTCTTAATTAGCCTTAGACTTACTTTAAAAAATGCTTTAGCCAGATCCTAATTGGCGAATAAGTGCTTCTGAATGTCTATAGCATTCTTTTTTTAATAAGAATATAATAATATTAGTTCATCACTTCCTAACTTAGACAACTTGATAAAATATCAATAGAATAAAGAAATAGAATAAAATAATAAAATACATTAGTTTGATTCTTAAGAAATAATACTATCCCCTAAATTAAATAAATTAAAAACCAATTTTAGCTATTAATTTGGAAGTTCTAACTATTTGGATACTCCTTTATCTTACGAAAAACAAAAAACTTTAAAAATTGATCTTTCGCAGTTAAAAGCATAAAATTAAATTGATAAAAATAAAGAATAAAAAAAATGAATAAAATAAATATTAAAAACTTAATATTAAAATGCAAATAAAATTTAAAACGAATAACAATTATTTAAAAAGATTATTGTATTTATCAATATTTTTATTTTATGTTTTAAATGTTTTAAATATATATAGTAAACCTTTAAGTAACCTTTTTTGTATTATTTATGTATTGTGTAAGTAAAATGAAAATAATAAGAAAAAAAAATATAAATTATAAAACAAAAATTTATAAATAAAAAAATGTATAAATGTATAAATATATAAATATATATATATATATATATATTTAATTTTTTTAAAAAATAAATTTTAATTTATAAAATATATATTTAATTTTTATAAATATAATTATTTTTTTAACTTATTATATAAAATAAAATAAAATATAAATAAAATAAAATAAAATATATATTGTATATTTAAAAAAAAGAAAATTATATTTATTTTTAATATATATATATAATATTTTTCTTTTGATTATAATAAAAATGAAAACAAATTAAAAATTAAGAAATAAGTTTTAATATATTTTTTTTCAACATAATTAAACTATATTTTATAAACAATATTTTTTTTATAAATTTAAAAGTATATATATAAATTTATGAATATATATTTTTTATAATATTAAAAATTTTTATGTTTTTAATAATATAAATTAAAAAATAATATTTATAATTTTTTTTTTATAATTATTTTTTATTTTTTTCATACTATTTTAAAATAATAATTAAATATTATATATTTTAATATATATTAAATTATTGAAATAAAATTTATTAAAAATATAATAAATTATTTATTATCTTTATAAAGACATTTAAATTTATTTAAAAATTATTATTATTATAAATTATAAATTTTATTTTATATCTTTTTTATTTTTGTAAATTTTTGCATTAAATTCTCTTTATTTTAATATAAATATATGTTTCTTTAACCTATTTTTTATAATTTATATTTAAATTTGATAGAATCTTTTTTTTATTATTTAATAAAATTAAAAATAAAATATTTTGATATATTGGATAATTATATATATTTCTTATATAAAATATATTTAAAGATATTTTTTAAAAAATTAGTCTATTTTATATATTAATATTAAAGAATATATATATATAAAATAAGAATTTATAATTTATATTTAATATATTTCTAAAATAATATATTTATAATATAAAAATATTTATATAAATATATTTTTTATTAATTTTATATCAAACAATTATTGAATTTTTATTTTTATTAAATAAATTCTTATTTTTTATTTAATTGAACTAATTAAAATAAATAAATATATTTTAATTATTATTAATATCAAATAATTAATTTATTTAATTATTAAAATTTTATATATTTATATTTTTTTAAATTAAATAAATAATAATATTGAAAATAATATTTATATAAATATACTATCATTTAAATTAATACTATAAAATTCTTAGATTAAATTAAATATTATAATTTATATAAAAATACATAGAAAAAAAATATTTATTATATAAACAAAAAAATATTAATAATATAATCAAAATCCAAAAATTAAAAAAATTATAAAATTATAAATTTAAAAATAAAATATTTATTTAAATTTTTTATATATTTATAAGAAAATTATATATAAATAATTAATATAAAATTAAGTATATTCATTTAGTATATATTTTTATATATAAAAATAATTATATTTATATTTACTTATTTAATATTTATATATAATTAAAAATTTCATTTATTTTCTTAAGACTACTATTCTTATTATATTCTTATTTCATCAATATCTATTCTATCATCAGGCAATTTTTCATCGTAATCCTCGATATTTTTTTATTTTCCTTAAAGGACTTCATTTTATTTAAAGTAGCTTTATGCGACTGCCATTTAACCTTGACTATTACTATTTCCATAAAAACTATCACTCATTTCTTTCTATTAGTGTTTATTTAAATCTTAAAACTCTTTTTCTATTTTGAAAACACTATCATCGCATAAACAGGCTGAAACAAAAAATTTTTCAAATATAAAATTCTCACAAAAATAACTGCATTTTTTTTCTATCTTTAAAATATTCGATTTATATGGTTTAAAAATCATTCCAGAAAAAAATTTATATTCAATAAAAGAAACACTGAAAATTCCTAAAATATGTAAACCAGGAAAACTCAACAAAAAGCCTATTCCAAGTATTAAAATTAAATGTATTTTTCCTATCCTAATACCCTATAACTATACTATATTATTAATGAATATAGATACTATATCGATTAAAATAACCATCCATATACCTTAATATATAGGATTTAATTCAATTTACAAGCCTTTTAGTAATAAAGTGCTTATTTTGAAATATATAATATTTATTATTTACAAAAGAACTGCTTTTAAAAATAGGTGTACTATATATGTGATTGTTCCAAGTATATTTTCAATTACTGTAGATTAGAATATTAGTAAATGTATAGAAAAAAATAATTCATAGATGTTATTATGAGATAAATATGATGTAAAAAATACCCAAAAGTTTTTTTTTGGAATATATTTTGGTAATTTATATCTAATTAAAGGTTTTTTTAATAATTTTGTTAGATTATATATATTGAGATTATTGTAAGGTTTAAAAACAAACTTGTTATTGAGAATGGATTTCTTAAGTAATATAATTTTTTTATACATGGAATGTTTTTTAGTTTATTTGTTATTATTTAACACATGATTTTTTATTTTAATTTAACAATTTTTTTTATTAAATTATTTATATAAATAGTATTTTTTTTATTAATTATATAAATTACTAAATATTAAAAATAGTAAATATATATAATGATAATTCATTTTTTTTTGAATTATTGCTATTTTTAATATGATTAACTGCTATTTTCGTCATCTTCGAAATTTTAATCTTTATCGATATTATAATAACATTTTCTTATATTATTATTTTTATCATTCTCTTTTTATTAGTTTTCTTAATTGTTTTTATAGTCGTTAGAGACTTAAGATTTATTTAATTTAAGAATTTTTCTTTTTTCTTTTCCATTTTCAAAAAAAGACATAGAAAAATTTTATATATCATGTAAAATCTATTATTCTAATGTCAAATTATTTTAATATGCTCTTTTTCTTAGACTTTTTCTATAGGGCTGTTTTTCATACTTAACATGATTCTAATGCACGTTTGCTCCCATTTCATGAGCTATTTTTTTATTATGAATTGGATTATAGGAATATTTTAATAAAAGATGTAAAAACTATTTATATTAGTCTTCTGACCATTTAACTCGATTTTAATTGTCATATATATATTCTCTTTATTTTAATGTTAAAGGATGATTTATATGTTCTTATAATTATTATAAAATTATGTCTAATTATTCCTATATATAATTATAACTATATAAAAAATGAATATATATATATATATATATATTTATATATATTTATATAAATATTTATATTTATATGTATTTATATTTATTTGTATTTTATAATTTTTTATACCATAATTATATTTTAATATATATATATATATATTCATATATTCATATATTTTTATATTTATATATTCATACATTTATTTATTCATATATTCTTTTATATTCATATATTCTTATATTCATATATTCATATATTCATATATTTATATATTTATTTATTCATATATTCATATATTTATATATTCATATATTCATATATTCATATATTCATATATTAATATATTCATATATTCATATATTCATATATTCATATATTCATATATTCATATATACATATAATCATATATTTATATATTCATATATTCATATATTCATATTATCATATATTCAAATATTCATATATTCATATATATATATATATTTTCATTTATTCATATATTCATATATAAATATATGAATATATTCATATATTCATATAATTATATTTTTATATATTCATTTATTCATATATTCGTATATTCATATATTTATATATTTATATATTCATATTTCTTATTTTTATATTTTATTTTACTTTTGTAGTTTTCGACTCTATTAATTTTTTTTCTTTTATTTAATTATTTAATTATATGTATTTATCTAACTTTTTTTCATAATTATCGACAAAACCTTCATAATGTTATATATAATGTTATATTAATTCTTATTTATTAATTTCGAATAAATCAATATTTTCAATATCGTCAATTATATTTGAATAATTTATTTTGTTTTGTTTTATTCTTTTACTAGTTTGTTGTCTTTCTTCTATTTATTAGTTTAAAAATTTATCGTCTTTTTCTTAAATATTAAACAAATAATATATAAAAAATTATCCTAATTTTATTGTATTAAAAATGAGATTTTTTTCTCTTTTTAAAATTTCTTAAGAAGAAGAAAAATAGTCAATTAAATTAAATTTCTTTTTATTTTATATATAAAAAAAAATGAATTATTTTATATTACTTATTCTTAAGCACAAAATGATATAAATAAATTTATTATTTTATTTATTTATTAATTTTTATCTTATTTATTTTTCTTATTTTTTAAATATGTACTTAGATTTTATTATTGTTTTATTTATTATTATTCAATATCCAATTGACTATTTTCATTATCTAAATTTTCATTAATACAGTCATATTATTATTAATTATTTTTAATAATATCTAAAATTTTTATATTAAATAAATTTTTCTTGATCTAGGTTTTTTCTAAACTAAATTTTCACTTAAAAGTAATTAAAAAATAAAATTTTATAATCTAAATTTAATACTATCATGTAATTAGATATTTTATTTCTATCAAAAAAAGAAATTAAATATATATATATATATATATTATATATATTTATTATATATATTTTTTTTTCTTATATATCTTATTTTTTTAAAAAAAAATTTAATCATTAAAACATTTTATAACAAAAAATTGAATTAACAATATTTTTTTTTTTTATCATTTTATTTTTTATAAATAATAAATTATAGTAAATCTTAAATATAAATTAATAAGTTATATATATATCATATTTTACTTTTTTTATAATATCTAAAGTAAATTAAAAAATCATTGGAAATAAATAAAAATCAATTTTAGGATTTTTAAAGAATTTGTCTGATGTAATAATATTTTTCCCTTGAAAGATTTATAAATATGTTTATTCTTATATATTTTCATCAACTAATTTATTATTTTTTAGATTATTATTTTTTTTATTATTATAATTATTTTCAGATTATTATTATTATTATTCATTATTATTATTATTTAAATAAAGACTATTCGGCCTTATTTTTTTTATTTTTTCTAAAAAAGGACCTTAATTATTTTTAAAATTATTATTTTTAATAAATAAAGTTTCTTTATAATCTTCTGGATATTAAGCATTTTTTACAAAATTATATTTTTTTTTTATTTCATTTGTTTAATTTATATATTCATTATAAATTTTACATGCATTTGTAACTTTTTCTTACTTTTTTTTTTTTTTTTTTTTTTAAATTAAAAAAAATTAAAAAAAATACTTCTTCTTCATTATAATCAGTTTCTTAATTTTTTTTTTGGCTGTTTTTATTCATATTTTCTTGTTCTTCGAATTCTTTTAAGTCTTTATTAGGATTTTCTTATATCCATTTATGTTTTCTAATTGCAATTGCTTCATTTATTTTAACTTGTTTTTAAATTTGTGAATTTCTAAGCCAAAACTAAGGACTTTCTCTTATATATGTGATGACATAATTTTGTAATTAAACTACATTATCTATATAAACTTCATGTAGTGAAGTTTCTATTAAAAATGTTTATAATACATGGTCTTCGAGAGTGGCTTTTTCCTCATCAGTGAGTAATTTTTTAACTGATTAGAAAAAATTGGATAAATAATTAGTATTTAATACTATCTAAGACTTATTTAAATCGAATTTTATTGTTTAAAATAAATTTTTGTTTAAAAATGGCTCATCTATTCTAAATCCATTTATCGTTTAAATTTATTATCGTGAATTCATATTTTTTTTGTTATATATATTAATATTATTATAATAGTTATAAATAAATTTAATATAAATTTTATTAAAATTTAAATTTAATTTTAGTTTAATTATTTTTTTATTTAAATAAAAAATAAAATAAAAAATTTGTCTATTTAGATATTTTATAAAAATATTTTCATACATTAATAGGATATTTATCTAAAGGTTTTAACCACCATTCAGAAAATCTTAAGTTTATTTTTAAAAATAATAATAATAATAATAATTAATATATAATTTATTAAAATAAAAATACTTTTATCTTTCTATATATCCGTTTCCATTATCTAATATTTTGGCAGCTAAACCTCTTAAAACATCAAAATATTTAAAATGATATGACAAATCATCAGAAAGAGCCATTTAAGTTAATTAAAATTTATCACATAATTCTCCTAATTTTTCTTCAGGTATAGTTTCCTTATAAATATAAAACAATTTAAAATATAAATATAAAAAAAAAAAAATTAAAATATAATATAAATATAAAATAAATATATTTTATTTTTTATACTTTTCCTACTGAAAAAGAATACCAAAAATGATTTATTTAATCTTATGTTTTTATTTATTCGCCTATTTTTTTCTTAAAATGTAAATAATCGTTTTTCTTGAAAAATCTCATAGCATTTACATTTGGCCATCTTTCTAATTTTTATAAAGAAATTGTTGATTCTATTGGTCCTATATTAATTTTCTTTATAAAAAAAATATATATGTATAAATATACCATTATGATATGTTAATTTACAACCTTTTGCTTTCCATTCTCTTCTACAACAAGTCCATCTTGGTCTAATTGCATTTGCATGTATAGTTTTATTATCTTAATTCTATATTAATGTAGCTATAGATTACAAGCTTTCTCCTAATCTTTTTACACTTCCAAAATCAAAATATCCAGGATGGTAATTGCAAGTTTTTTATTTAATTTTCATGTCTGTATTTTTATCAATTTCTTTAAATCTCATATTTTTTTCTTCGCAACCCCAATTCATACATATTCTTATTTCATTCTCATGTGCTTTTCTTTCTTCTTCTAATTATGTTTTTTCAGTTACATAAGGCTTTTAATTTTATATTATATTATATTTATATATATATAAATAAATATGTAATTTTTTATATATATTAATTTATTTATTTTTAACAGTATATTATTCATAAAGTCTATATATACTAGATTTTAAAGCAGTTTTATCAAATCTTTCAATTTCTGTATTTCTAACTATACCTGGATTCTTTTTTTTTAAAAATGAATAATTTTTATAATAATAATCTTAATAAAATTACTTTTAAAGGTTTCTCTACAAAATATATTTTCGCTTTTACATCAGGCCAAACAGCACATTAATGCTCTTAAGTATAACAGCCTTCAGCTGTTTAAGAACACTGATTGCAACAAGTCCAATAACCAGAATCTTTGTTCCTATTTTCTATCTTAAAATAACCTCTATGAAATTTACATTATTCAGAATCTTATTCTGTATAGTTTTTACCACAAGCAGAATCTGGATGACCTGTTTCAGGGTTAATATCACCTAAAATTTTTAAAAAGAAATATAAATAAATATATATACGTATATTTATACATATATATATATATTTTAATAATTTATATATATATATATATAAATTTATTTATAACATTTTTATACTTTCAAAAATTTTGTTATAAATTATTTTAATAATTATCTATCTAATATATATATATTTATAATTTTTACCATGATTTATACATAATCTAATAATTTTTCTTTCTGTTTATCCGTTATGATAACCTATTTTACATCCTTTATTTAAATTTTTAATTTTATCAACATATACAATTTTTTAATAAATTTATATATATAAATATATATTATACCTTTAGATTCCCATTTTCCTCTACAACATACCCAACTTTATGGCCATAATCCATGGCTTGAGCCTAAATCAAAAACTCCAGGATGATACTAACATTTTTTATTTGCTTAATTAATATCACTTTTATATATATAAGTTTATCCACATCCCCAATTTTTGCATATCATTACAGTTCCAGCCGATATTTCTTAATCTTTTTTTTTATCATCATTTTGCTTTTTCTATCTTTCCATTACGGAAATAGGAAAATCATGCGCATTTATAGATTTTTTAGGATATAAATCATTAAAACTTTAAAAATATAACTCTTAAGCTTTTTACATTTAAGTAGAATCGCCGTATCCTTAACTAAGTAAAATTAAACCATCATAAACCTTAATTAATTAAAAAATTTATATTTATATACAAATGTATATATATATATATATATATATATATATATATATATATATATATTTTTATATATGCATTTATATATATATTTTATATCTTTATAATTTTATATATATTTGCCCTTAACATTCTTTAATCAAAGTAAGCTAGAAAAGAAGCTATACTTTCATTTTTTCTAAAAAGCCATATTCTTCCTTATTAATCTCTCATTTCTTCAGGTCCAACTCCTCTTATATATACTTCAAATGCTTCCAATTATTATGGGTTTTCATAATTTCCTATAATTTCTATATTTTCAAAAACGGTATTTAATAATATTCCTAAAAGATTAAACTTTTCACAAAAATCAGCTTCTTCATGTCTAGTGGAAATTTAATGTGATTCGCACTATGTGCATTTATTTATTACTACTTGAAATTTTCCTTGATTCCAGTTTGAGCATAAAACAGGATAATTTTCTTGATTTTCGAATTTTTATGTTGTCGTTAATAAATAAGTAGATTGAATATCATCTAAAGGTCTATAAGTGGAAACCGTTTCCTGTTTAAAAGATTTAACATTTTTTAAAGGAACGCATATTATTTATAATTTATAATAAGCATAAATATTTTGTGTATCTTCATTTTCTGTATTTTAGTATATTTTATATTGTTGATCTTATTCTATTTATAATTCGATTCCAATTATTTTCTTGTTTTCATTTTATTCGATTATTAATTAAAGGTTATCTTGTTGTTCAGATATTTCTTATTATTTTATTTATTATAATTGAGTGTTTTTTCTTTATAAATTTTAGTTTTCTATATGTTTATTTTATTTTAATTAAAAGAACAAATAAAAAATATATATATTACCTTATTAATTGACACTAATAGAATCTCTTTATTTATTAATTGATATAGTCATTGTTTTTTTTTCGTTATTCTATATCTTATATTTTGTCAACCATAGATTCTTATAATATAGTATGTTATTTATGTAATTTATTATAACTTATAAATTATAGAGAACCGAAAGGAAATATATTAATTTTTTATAAATTAGTGACTATTTTTAAATTTTATAAATTAAGAATTCCTTTATTTTCAACAAAAGCCGAAAATCCTAAAAGCTATTCGTTTTTTTCTTTATTTAGGAAAAAACAGAACTTATATAATAAAGGGTCTGGAATTTCATAAAAAGTATCTACATATATAACATCTTTATTTTCCTAATGTTCGTAAATAACACCAAAAGCGCAATTATTATTTAAAAGAATATTTAAATCTTCTTATTAGAAATAATTTGAGTTGGAATAAGTACATAACATTTTGAATATTTCTTCAAGTTCTTTTTCTTTTTTTTCCATTTACAATATATTAAATGTAAAATGTTAAAATTATTCTAAATAACATTTTTATATTCTTCCTTTACATATACTTTTAAATATTTTACTTATTTTATTTTCATTTACATATTTTTCTAGTCTCTATATAAAATTATTATAATAATCTATGTGTTAGATACCTTTTAAAGGAGGAAATGAAACATAAAAACCATTTATCTAATAAAAATTCGATTCGATTTAAATATTTTTATCCCTATATTTCAACATTTTTTATAAATGGTGAAAACTACTATATAAAAAATCTTTTTTTTAATTATTTTTTCTAAATTCGTTCTATGTAGAGGCCCATTCTCTTTTTTCTCGTTCTATTTCTTATTCTTTAAAATGAGGATTAATTTTACATTATTCCTTTACGAGGATTATTCTTCCTAGTTTAGCGTAGTGTCGCGAAGAATTTAAAGAAATTAATCGTAAACTATTCCTATTATTTTTAATATTTAATTTTATTAATTTTCTAATTTTTATTCATATCTTTATTTTTTAATTATATATTTTTAATATTAATATTTATTACTTGTATTTTCTTATACAATTACACTTTTTTGCTAAATTTTCCAATTATAATAAATTTATCTATATTTATATTAAAAATATGTATAATAATAAATTTATATATATTATATTATATATATATATATTTATATATATATATATATATATATTAAACTATACATCAATTTTCATATATTTTAATATTCTAAGAAATCTTGTAGATTCAACAATATAAAAAGGTGATATGTCTTAATAATCAATTAAATTAGTCGAGAGTAGTAAATGTAAAGAGAAAAAAGGTATCTTAGTTCCTATTCCGTCATCAACAGGCGGAGACATACACTATAATGTGTTAAATATAAACTTGTAATTTAATGAGATTTATTTTGCTAATTTTAAAATAGTTTAATGTTTTGTAAAAAATTCGTTAAGTTATTATATTTCTTTAAAATTATTATTTCCATAAACTGAATACTCTTATGTTTTATTTTATATAGGAAATCCAATTATTGTATGATTTTTTTATAAAATTAATGGAACTTAATGCAAATTTTATTATATTTAATTTTATTTTTAAATCTATATTTAAAATTCATATTCATATATTATATCTATTGTTTTTTTTTAATTATTCGAAATCATTTTTTTTTTTTAAATTTCTTAAATTAATTCTAAAGAAAATGCCTTTATTCCATAAGATACGTCAATTAATTATCCTTTAAATAATAAAAAAGTATTTTCAGCTCCCAAAAATATATTTCCTGTAGGCAAATTAATGCCATTTAAAATAGAAACCTTTATTATATTTATTTATATTGTATTTTATATATTTATTTTTTGAAAAAAATACATATAATTTTTTATACTTATCCTTAAAATCTATCATTTATAAATAAAGATAGACTATATGTAGGTTATGTATCTATATATATCAAATCATATATAACAAAAATGTTATATTAGGTATTTAATTTTATAGAGTTTTATGAAAAAAAGTATTCATGTTATAAATTTCTGCTATTTTATATATATATATATATATATATATATATATATATATATATATATATATATATATATTTAATATTCATAAATATATATATAAGAATACTAGAATGTAATACATAATTTTAATGTTTATTAATCAATACTTAATTGAAGTTGTTTTTAATTTTTATAACCAATTTAAAAAATATGTATTAAATTTAAACTTTCTTTTATTAATAATTTTTTTTTAAAATAAATAATATCCTTGTTTTAATTACCATTACTTTGATAATTTTAATCTAATTTATTTACATTTAAAGTAAAACATATTGAAAAAACATCAATATTTTGATAAAACTTTTCATTCATTCTTAGTATTTTCTTTAAATATTAATATATTATGGCTTATATTTTTTATAAAATTAAAATTCATTTTACTGTACTTGATGATTTTATTCATTAAATTCTTCAAATGATGTTATTTAATATATCCAGCTTTAAATATCTTGAATTTTTTATTATTAAATGATTTATATTTCATTTAAATATGTTTAAGGTTAATCATTTTTATTATACATACTTTATATATATATATATTTATTTATATATAAATAAAAGTGTAAATTAAATATATATTTTTTTTTAAAGTTAAATATAAATTTATCTAATTTAATTTAAATTTATAATAAATCAATTAAAACTATTTAATATATTTAATATTTTAATCAATACTTTAATAGTTTATATTTTTTAATCAAAATTTTTATAAAAAAATAAAAAATAATATATTTTTGTTATATATACAAAATTTAAAAATAATAAAATAAAAAAAAACTCATATTAAAAAAATTAATATACATATTGTTTAATTATTTTTTGAAGAAGATTAAATAGAATAAAAAAAAAACAACAACAAATAAATATACTCTTTTTTATTTTTTATTTTTTTAATACTATATATTTAATAATTTTATAAAATCATTTCTTTTTTTATAATTCTTATTATCTTTTAATATTTGCATTATATATTCTTGCAATATTGACTTCACAAGTAGTAATTTAATCTTTTAAAAAATTTAAATCTTCTTCCTTTTTTTGTTTTTTTTTTTAAAAAAATAAAAAATTAAAAGAAACTAATAAAAATTTTACAAAAGTATTAAAATTTCCAGTAGCATTTTCAAGATTTTTTTTAAGTAATTAAGTAGCCTCATCGTAAGAAAATTCTACCATAACGTTAGCACCTAACCATAATGCTTCTCTTTAAACATCTTTTTTAATTTAAGCTTTAGTCCAAATAGTATCGGTTAGGAGAAAATCAACATGCATATCACTATCTCTTTATTATAAAAAGTTAACTATTTCTATTGCTTCTTCTATTTCTGGAATTTTAGATTACATGCTTTCTTTTTATTTAAGGATTTACATTTCCATCATTTTGTATTTGCTAATTTTTTTTGTTTTTTTTTGTTTTTTTGTTTTTTACTTATAAACTTCTTGTAGGCTTTGCATTACTTTCTCAACTTAATATTTTACACATATTTAATCTATATTTTCCTTTTTTTTATTTATTTAAAGTTTGTTTTTGTTTGTTTATTTGTTTGATTTTACAAGAAATATTGCTTAAGGAATTTTCCTTGGATTTTATGAATTATCAGTAGTTGTTAATTAGGGTATATCTGCCATTATTAGTTTTGATTTTTTAGTTTTTTAGATTTTAGTTTTAATTTTTTTTTATATTTATAGGCTTTTATTATAAATTAAAAATATCTTTTAATTATTAGTATTTTTTTAAATTTAATTTATTTATTTTTTTTTAAAAAAAATATGTATATATTTATATATATATAAAATAAAATATTATAAGTATAAGTATTTAATTTTTAATTTAAATAATAAATTTGTTATATAAGATATATATAATAATCTAATTTGATAATTATTTTTTGAATTGATATTAAATATTTTATTTATATATAATATTTTTAATTAAAAAATTAATAAAATTTATTTACTGGAGAATTTTGTATAATGTTTTAATTATATATTAAATAAATATAATAAAAATATGAAATATAATTTTTCATAATATTAATTTTTATAAAAGTAAAACTTATTAATATTTAGATATATATTTATATAATATATATTTTTTATTATAATAAAAAAATAATTAGCTTATATAATTAAAAAAAATAAAAAATTTTATTATATAAGAACAATAAATTATTATTTTTATATATATATACATATGGTATATTTTGATAATATATATTTTTTTTATTTATATTGTATTTTATGTTAAAATTTATTTATATATGGAAATTTTTTAACTATTTTTTAATTTTCTTATATATTTTCTTTATTATTTCCATATACTATAATAATCGGATATAATTTTGTGGAGTATCTCTAAATTTTCTTTTTAAAATTATTTATTTTATTAATTAAAGTTATTATTTACTTTTGAAATGTTATTATTTTTTAGACTCAAACTTTTATTAAAATAATTATTATTTTCATATTTAAAATTATATATTTTCTTTAGAACTTTTCTGATTTTATCAAAACTTTTATAAATAAAAAAAAGGCTTTCTTTTTTTTACTTTAAATAATAATATATATAAAATCTAGTTGTGGTTTTTAATATTGTTTATATCCCTTTCTATTTTAAATCGTTAACGTTTAATTCAAATGTATAATTATCTATTCAAAGTTCTTCAATAGATAATTATTCTTGATATTTAAATTTATCAAGGAATTTGTTATAAATATAGTAGTTTATATATTAATTTTTTATATATAAATAAAATATATATATTTTAATATTTTATAATTATTGAAAATAAAAATAAATATATATTAATTGAAATGATTTTTATATTAAATAGATTTATATTACTTTAAATTTTATAAATAAAATATTTTATAAATTAAATATTATAATAAGTATTTATATTTACTTAATTAATAATTATTAATATTTATAATATTTAATTAATATTATATAAAAATAATTAAAAAATATTTAGACAGATATAATTTTTTATATAATAATACCTAATAATAAATATTAAATAATAGATAAAAATATATTATAATATATAATAATAAAAATATACTCAATAATTTTGTAAATAAACATTATAAAAAAAAAAAAAAACATATAATATAATTTAGATTAAGATAAAAAATATGGGAAACTGTTGTTTAGTTAGAGAAAAATAATTAAAGATTCCAACTTAGAAATATTTAATAACTTAATAAAAATCATATTAATATTCTTATAATAATAATAGTAACAATTAAGAAAAATAACTATATACAATACAATCATTAAGTTCATAAAATTATATGTAAATAAATGAAAACATAACAACAACCAATATGAACAATAAAGAAGAATGTTAAGAATCAAATTAAATAATAAATACATCAATAAGGAATGATTCATTTCAAGAAAAAATAAAAAATCTAATAAAAAATAATAATAAGAAGAAATAGATGAATATATTAATAATAATATTTAAAATAATAATGAATAATATATATAAAATTTACAAGATAATTTTTAGTTTGAAGAAGAAATATAAAAAAATGAAGAAATATAAATTTCATTTAATTAAACTGAAAAAGAAGTAGATTCTTTTTTAGAAGAAATGTCATCTTTATTAAAAAACTAAAAAAAATAAAATGAAAATCAATAAAATATAAATTCTACAGATTCATATTAAATTTAATAAAATGAGAAAATAAAGGAAATTGATTAATAATAATATATATAAAATATATATTAGATAAAAATTTTAAATTCTTAATAAATCACTCCATCTCCTAAAAAAACAGAAGACACATTTGAATATTCACTAAAAAAATAATTTAAAAATAGTGAAGAATTTAGAGACAGTGTATAATAAATTGACGATGAAATAAGAAGGGCATAAAAAAGAAGTATAATTAAATAATTTAATTAGTCTATTATTTGTTCTTGTCCGTATTATTAAAACATATAACAAAATGTAAGAAAAAATGAGGATTTTGCAAATTAGGGAATTTTATCAATTGACTCGGCTACTTTAAATTCATAAGGAAGTGCCACAGATAAAATAGGAAGGAGATCGGCTTCTAAATATAGGAATTCTAAAAAAAGTAATGGATTTGAAGGAAGTTAGTACAAAGAGTTTTTAGCAAATAATTTAATATATGTTCCTGAAGAAAATATATAAAAAAATATTGAAATTTGAATTTATTTTTTATTTAGGTTAAAAAGTATTTTATAAAAATATCTATCTAATTTATTATAATTATAATATATAATTTTATTTTTAATATAAATTTAAATAAATCTTTAAAAAAAAAAATTAAAAAAACGCGCAATGATAAATGAAAATAAAATAAAAGATATATAAATATATAAATATATTAATATATAAATATATAAATATATAAATATATAAATATATTTTCATTTTAAAAATATATATACATTTTTTTTAATTTTATAAAAATTAAAAATATAAATTTATTTTTAAAAAAAAAATATAAATTTTTTTTTTTTTAAAAAAAAATGATATCACTAATTATGTTTTTTTTTTTTAATTATATAATTAAAAATATATATTAAAAAAATATAAAATAAAAAAAAAAAAAAAATTAATAACAATTTCAAATTTAAAACAATAATATTCATTTTAAAAAATGCAAAAAAAAAAATAATGTTTTTATGAATGTTTGCAACTTTCAAAAGAATGCACAAAAGATTAAATAAAATAATAATATAAAAAATTAGCATTAGTATATTTACTTTTTATTAATTTAATGACTTAAATATTTAATTTTTATAAATAAATAATTTTAGTAATATCATCCTGATAAAAATAGAGATAATTCAAATATAGCAAAAATTAAATTTTAAGAAATATCAGAAGCATATACAGGTTTTTTTATTTATAAAAATTTATTAATAAAAAACATTTATATTATATATATATAATAAAAAGTTTTAAGTGATGATAAAAAGAGAGAGATTTACGATAAATATGGCGTAATAGATGAATCGGAAATAGGATTTGATTATAATTAATTTATGGAAGAATTTGATTTTACTGAAATGTTTGATATGATGATGGGAAAAGATGTATTAATTATAAAATAAAAAAATATTAAATAAATATATATATATATATATATATTTATATATATATATATATATATATATATATATATATATATATATTTATATATTTATTTATACTATTATGTAGATTGATATATTTTTTAAAGAATTTGATAATTTCACTAAAACAGGAAGAAGATAAAATAAATTTACAAAAAGAAGAATGAAGATTCCTCTTTCTGAATTATTTTCATTTGTATTTTTTTTTTTATTATATTAAAATAGTATTTTTTTTTTAGAAATCTATGTCAAATTAATTTTCTGGCAAATAAAAAAAATCTTAAAAAAATGACGAAAATTGTAATCTATAAAATGAATTTTTTGTTAATAGTTTTTTATTATATTATAAAAAAAAAAAATTAGAATGGTAAACAGATTCAGAAGAAGATTAATAAAATTAAAATGATGATGAATGGGAATCAGAAGAAGAAGATTTTAATAAATAGAATAAAAATAAAAAAAAAATATATTTAATTTTGGAGGATTTGATTTTGATCCTTTTGAAATGATGAAAGATATGGATTCTATGGATTAAGATGAATTTTAATTAGTTGATAAATTTATTGAAGAAAATACAAAATAAATTAAGAGTAATTGATTTTTATTTATTAAATAATTTTAATTTTATTTTTGATTTTTTAAAGAAAATAAATAATTATGTTTATTTTGTAATAAATAATTTGATTCTGATGATATTCCTGAGCATTTTATGGTAAAACATGAAGGATAATTTGATAAATTTATTGAAAAATGTAAACTTTTTATGTAAAAAAATTTTTATTATTTTTTTAATAGAAGAAAAATAAAAAATACTAAACCAAAATAATAAAAAAACTATAAAAAAATGAGAGAGTACAAAAAAAAAAAAAAGTATATTAATTAAAAAAAAAAAAAAATTATAATTCATATTTTATTTTTGTATGGTTTTATTTCTTATTTATAAAAAACACATATTTAATAATAAAAAAAATATTTAAAAGACTATTTTTTTATTAATTATAATAATATACTATATTAATTTAATAAAATAATATTTTTTTTTTTAAAATTTAATTTATAAAAAAAAAAAATATATAAAAAAGCATACATAAAAAAAAAAAAACAATTATATAAATATTTTTGTTATAGACTAAAAAAAATGTCAATTTCAAAAATAAATGAATAGCAAAAACTAATAAAAATAGACTAAAATAAAAATATTGACATAAATCTAACAAAAATTGAAAATAATTTAACCCCGAAATCAAGAAAAGGAAGAAATCAAACGAATGAAAACGATTAAATACTAAAAAATATAGATAAGAAAAATAATTTAAATTCCAATATAAATAAAGAAAATATGAATAGTATAGAAGATTCATAATCTTTAATTTCTAAAGAATCAAGAATAAGAAGTGAAACAATAAATTCTTCTGAAATTAAAAAATAACAGAAAACAAAAAGACACAAAAAATAAAAAAAAACTAAACTCGAATAATAAAATATGATTATAGATGACTATTTAATAGCAAATTAATAAGGGCGAAATGTACTCCATAGAGCATGTTTGGAATAAAATAGTTAATTAATAAACGAAATAATAGATGACTATATAAAAATATACTCTTAATTGAGTTATTCATAATAATAGAAATATAAAAATATATAAAATTATATTAATACGGAAGATGCTTTTTAAAATACAGCAATTATTCTTTGCTGTTTATAATAAAATTAAGATTCTTTCAAAAATAGGATTTAATGTATTAGAATTTTGGTCTCAAAAGAGGCTAGAATTAATTAGAGAAATCCAAGGACGCTTTGGACTGCTTTACATTGGTCAGCTTATTATTTAGATTATTAAAGTGTTAGTTTTTTATTATAGAATGGGGCTTTTGCTTGTTTTCCGGATTATATAGGATAGTACCCTATAGACATGGCAGGAATTTCAGGGAATGTGAAGATTAAAAATAATAATTTACAAAAGGAATAGAATTAAAATGCAAGGGATGTGATTGATATTATTATTTAGAATTTAAACTATAAAATCTAAGATTTGGAGGATAAAGAAAATGAATAGCTAAAGGATTTATAAGATATAGAAAAAAAGTAAAATGTGGATTTTAATAATAAATAGTATTAATTGGACGAAGAAAAGTATTTAAAAACTCCTTTACTTAAATATAGACTTTTATTTTGGGCAGTTTATTATTAAATTGATAAAAATAAAATAGAAAAACTTTGCAATTTTTAAAGGACTTATATTATGTATAAAATGTATGGATTTTAATATATTATTAGTTAAGTTTTTTTATTAATTTTTAATAAAATAAAAAAATAGGTAATCTATGTAATAAATGACTAGTTTACATGCAGCAGCAAAAAAATGTGAAGGGAAAAATATATATATAATGGAATATTTATTAGATAAAATAAATAAGAAATAAAAATTTAATTAATAATAGAAATAATTATTATAAGGAATAAATGAAAAAAAAAAAGTAAAAAAATAAAAATTCAATATTAAAGAAAATTCCATTTTATGTTTGTTAGAAATGGAAAAACTTTTATATTCAAAAACATTCTTAAAAGAAATTAAATTATTTGGAAAATGGGAGAGATAATTTTTACATAATTAACTATTAATAGGAACTTACAAATAATATAATTATTTAAATTAGTAAATAAAATAAAATTTATTAAATTTTATATATGAATATATATATATGTATATTATATATATATATATATATATATATATTTATATTTATATCAATATTATTTATTATACATATATATATATACATTAATATATTTAAATATAGAAAGGATTTATATGGAAATACTGCTCTTCATTTAGCTTCTATAAATGGAAATGTTGAAGCAGCTGAATTATTATTAAAATAAGGTGCTGATATGGAATCTGAAAATAAAGAAGGATGGCGTCCTCGTGAACTAATATAATTCGATAATATAAAACAGTTTTACGAAAAAAAATTTAACAACAAGAAGGTTAAAATGATAATCATTTGAGATAAATGAACTAGATTTTATAATAATGTTTAACAAAATACAAACTAGACAAAATAGAAATCCGAAATAAATAAAGAACTAATGATTTGTATAAATTCGCAACAAAATTATCGCTTCCAGATTATGTTATAGTATTTAACTTAGATGAAGATTCTAGAAAATATAAAGAAGAATCAAATACTATTAACTTTTGGATAAGTATGATAAACAGTTCAAATTTTAATGTATTTTTATCATAATCTGTGGATAAAACTAAATATTACGCTATGATAGGTATGTAATCTGAATAATTAGAATATGCTTGTAAAGATAATAAAGTAAATATAAATACAAATATAAATATAAATATATATATATATATATATATATATATATATATAATATATAATATATATATATATATATTATATATCATATTTTTTATTATATATTTAATTACCCAAAAAAATATAGATATAAATAAAATTAATAGATTCTTATGATTATGAACCTTTTGATCCTGATCAAAAGAAACTTTTTGAACCTTTCCGTTCTAAATAAAGACAGTAAATAATTGAGGCTTCATTATAGAAAGTTGTAAATCTACGAGATTTAAAAAGCTAGAAAATTGTTTAATAATTTTATTAAATGCATACTTATGGAGGTATATATAGGATTAAATTCTAATGGATATATGATACTAAATGGTACTTACCTTAGCCTTTAAATCAAATGGATGATTATTTATTGGAAGGAAAAAGCTAAAATTTTACTTCTGTGACTATTTTGAGACAGTATTTTGGTGAAAAAATTGCTTTTTTTTTTGGGTGGAAAAGCTTTTTAACTTGCTTTACAGTTTTTATAGCTTTCCCAGGGTTAGGGATATAGATATACGAGTTTATTACAGGATAATATGATTTTTTTTTGATTCCCTTTTGGGTGTTTTATGTTATGTTATGGAGCACTTTTATTGTGGAGTTTTGGAAAAGGAAAACTTCTGAAATTAATTATAGATGGGGTACACTGGAATAAATGAATACTGAATTAGATGTCGATAAATAAATAAGAAGCGATTTTATTGGAGATGAATGTATTTCTTTAGAGACTGGAGGTTTAACTAAACACTAGGAAAAAGCAAAAACTGTAATCGTATTATTAATTTCAATACCTTTTTTGCTTATTTTAATGGCTTGTATAGTATTTATTTTCCTCTCAGTATAAGAATTTAAGAATAAAAATCCAAATACTTTGGCTAATCAAACCATTGCGGGAGTTCTATAGGGTGTAGGGATTTAAGTTCTGAATTATATATATGTTTTTGTGGCAAAATTATTTGTAGAATATGAAAATCATAAATATGATGAATAATATGAAAGATCTATTATTTATAAAATTATGGCATTTAAGTTTATAAATAGTTATTTTTCTTTATATTATGTAGCTTTTGTAGATAAAAAATCAACTTTTGAGACTTTATTTTAGATGCTATTACCTATAATGTTAGTTAAATAAGTAATATAATTATATATATGTTTAAAATAAATATATATTTACATTTGTGAATATATATTATTTATGATTTCTTATATATATATATTAATTTTAAATTTTTGTATAATTTATATTTTTACATTTTTTTAGTTTAATTATATGATTTTATCTGTTTGGATACCAAAATATATATAGAACTCTAAAGAAAAAAAATATTTTAAAAAAGTAGATGAATAAATTTATTAATAAAATTTAATATAAACAAATTTCAGTGAATTTTTTGATGATAATTCTATGAATGATAAATAGGATATAATAGAGTAATTTTGGCATTAAGAAAATGGTTTAAAAATGAAAACTTTATTTAGAAACATAATATAATTACCTAATTAAAGTTAAGATGACAAAAATGCTTAATCTGAAAAGAAAATTAATTATATAAATAATATAGATATTGATTCTGTAGAATTAAATGCTCTAAGAGTCGATTTTACAGATACTGTGAGCTTATATGCAGACTCTTTTATTGATATAGGCTATATAACTTTATTTGCATCAGCTTTCCCTATTGGACCTATGATTTCGCTTTTGATGAATACTTTAGAAATTAATAATAGACTTATTGTATTGTTAGATATTTATAAAAGACCTAAATTTGAAAAATGTACAGGAATTAACGATTGGATGTATATATGGGAAGGATTATCTGTTATATCTGTGGTAAATATTTATATATATAAATATATATATATATATATATATATATATATATATATATATATATATATATATATATATATATATATATATATATATAATATATATAAAGTATATTTATTTTGTTTTTTGATAAGTTTTCTAATATAGCATTAATGTATGTAAAGGACGAGTCTTTAATAAAAATTTTATTTGATGAAGATTAATTGAGTGGCGTTTAACTAGAATAATATAAAGTTTGGACTTATTTAGTAGTAGGAATAGTAATATTTGGTTTAAAATATATGTTTTAAGTAGTTATTTAAGATAAGCCTAAATGGATTTTAGATGAGGAAGAAAAAGAAAACTATTTGAAATAATAATAGGAAATTGCAAACGAGAAAATAAGATCAAAAGAAATGTAAGAATTAAAATTGTAAAGAAAAAAACTTATTTAAGAAAAAGAAGAAAAAGAGAAAAAATTTAAAATCTTTAATATGAAAAAAACTGAATAGTATAAACTTTTATAATAAGAATGTGAATACTATAAAAAAAATTGCCCTTAAAAATTAGTAGATTTCGATTCTGTTTTTTTAAATAATTAGTAAGATTTTACATCCAAAAGCAATAAAGTTCTTATTAAAAACTAATATTTTCTTAGTAATGATAAATTAAAGTCAGAATTTTATGTAAAAAGACTTAGTGTACTTAAAAATACTTTCGTTAATATTGAAAGGGAATTACTTAATATTAGATTGAAATAAATTATTTATATGAGTAAATAACCTATTGTTATTTGTAAAGAATGTAGTTTAAATTCTGCAGTTTTGGAATGTTTGAATTGCTCTAATAGATGTTTTTGTTAAGAATGTTTTGATAGTTTTCATAATGATATAAAAGAAAATTATCATTCGGTCAATCTTGTTAATATAAAATATTAAAATTTAGATTTGTAAGGATATTGCATTCTGGAAAATAATAATGAAGAAATCTAAAGTTTTATTTAATGGAAAAAATTCGAGTAGTTTTGTTTACCAACCTTTGAAAAAAGTAGCTTCCATAGTTAATTAAGTGATATATTTAATCTTTTTTAAAACGAGTATATTAAAAATAATGGAATAGAAGATCCAAATTAATAAATTAATATTAATTCGATTTTTAAAATTTAGTAAAAATAAGGATATAAGAGTGAATTCTTTAAATAATAAAATGAAGAAGTTTAAAAAATTATTGAAATGGAAGAATTTAATGTAGAAGATAAATTGTTTTTGAATAGAATTGCTTTCCTTACTTTTAAAAGATATGAATATGCTAACTATTAGAATTTTCTATCTTTTTGTAAACATTTATAAGTAGTTTATTTTACATATATAATTTAATTAAAAAAATAAATATATTAATGCAAAAAATTAAATATTTAAATAAATTTTTATATAAATATATATATATTTATATAGGAAGGAAATTTTTAAAGAAAAATGCTTTTACTTTTAGATTTTTTAGATTTAAATGAAAATAAATAAATTTTATTTGATGAAATATGCAATTTTTGTTACTCTAGTTTTATGTAAAATATAGACTTCAAAATTGGTATTTAAAATATTTTATAAGAATTATTTGAAGATTAAAATAAAATTGATAAATTAACTATTGGTAAAAAGATATTGTTTGAAGTTTAAGAAAACTCATAGATTTATATGTTTTTGGTATAACTTATGTAATCTAAAATATGATTTTTTTATTTTTTAAAAGATATTAATTTTATATATATATATATATATTAAAAAAAATATATTGATTTGTTTAAAAAAAATAAAATTTTGTTTAACTAAAAAATCTAGTGAATATTTATTTAATTTTAAATTTTTGTTAAAATTAAATTTTAAAGGAAATTAATATATTCTTTAAATTAAAAAAATATAAAGAATCAATATAAAAAAATAATTTGAATTAGAATTTATTAAAAAGAAAGTCATTTTTATTAGTAAAAAAATTATATAAATTTAATCAAAATTTAAAATGTGTTTATTTTTATTAAATTTATCTTATAAATAAATTAAAAAATATATTTTAATTAATATAATATAATAATTTAAATTTATATTTATTGCTTCTAATATAATAATTTCCTTTATAAATATATATAATATAATATTATTTTTATATATTATAAATTTTTTTTTAATATTATAAAAGATTAGAAAACGCAATAATATATTTTTTGATACATAAATTTATTAAAATAATACTTTTGTTATATATTAATTAAATTAATTAATAAAAAACATTTTTTTTATTCAATATAAACTATTTAATTTTAAAAAAATTTATTCATTTAAGATATTTTTATTAATAAGAATTATAATAAAGCCAAATTATTTTTAAAGATAAATATAAATTATTTATATAAATTTTAAAATGCGTAAAAGAAGTGGAGCCCTACATAGTACATCACATGAAGATTATTTAAAAGTATTAAAAATACAATATTTTAGTTTATAATAATAAATCATGTATTTATCAATATTATTTTTAAAATAAAATAAAATTAAAATACATAAATTATAGCTTGCGGAATAATCACAAAAATAAAATGATTTATTTTATAATAGTAATTCAAGTAATAACCAATAATATAATATTATTACAAAAAAAAAACCTGTATATGAATTGCTTTAGTTTATAGATTTATAGGTTAGTTTTTATATGCAATTTATATAAATTTATTGTAAAAAAAAACAAAAAAAACAATAAAATATACTAAAAATCATTAAAATAAATGTTATATTTATATTGTATTTTTTTAAAAAAAAAACTAATAAAAATTAGGGAAATAATATTAGAAATGATTAACCATAAATTGAATATTAAGATGAAGAAATTTTCACAATAAATAATATAATAATTTGTGGAAATTTTACTGAAGATTTATTAATATAATTATATAAAATTGATACCTTTAATTATAATGGGTAAAAAAATATATATATATAAATTATTATTTATTTAATTTTTTTATTTTTTGTTTTTAATTTAATTTCAAAAATAAATAAAGTATTAAAAATATAAATGAATAAATTAAAAAACTCGTCATTGATTTATTAATAAATCAATAAAAATAATAAAATCATATAAATATATCAAAAATATGGTTATATAATATATTTTAAAATTAAAGTAAATAATAAGCTAAAATAATTGAAACTGGTAAAAAAAAATACATATATACATATATATTATTTTTTTTAACTTTAATTTTTTTGGTTTTTTTTTTTTTTTAATTTAAACAAAAAAAATAGTTTATTATAAAAATTGCTAATATTTCATATTTTTATACAAAAAGGAAAACTAAATAAATATATAGGAAGCAAAATAATATTATGAAATTTGCAAAAAAAATATAAACGAATAATTTGATTTTAATCCGATTTTTATATCTGTAGTTAATAGTAGTAACGCAAAATAAAATATCTAAGTATTATTTTATATCTAAATTATATTTTTAAAACACATTTTTATTTTTAAATAATTTTTTTATTTTTAAATAAAAACTGTTTCTTATTATAAACTTTTTAGTTTCAGTAATAATTTATCAATTAGTTTGATTTAAATTATTAAAACATTTAATATTTTGAAATTTAAATAAACTAACTATATGAATGTATTAATAATGTATTTTATTTTTTATTTTTTATTTTTTGAATATTTTTTTTTTTTTTAAATAAAAATAAAGATTGTTATAAACCTCAATAAAAAATAAAAAAATTTAAACAAATTAAAATAAAATAATTTTAATATATAAGACCAAGAAATAATGTATATAATTTAAAATAAAAAAATTGCTAAATCTTTATAATGTAATTAAAAAAAAAAAAAAGTTAATCTGAAGATTTAACTAACTTTTAATAAAATAAATTATAAAAATTATCATAATTAAGATCTTAATCTTCTAATGTAAAAAGTTAAGAAGAACTATAAAAAATATAAAGTTGTATTTAGTATATAGAATAAAATAGCTTAATTTCAGGCTAATAATTATAATAATTAAAAATATGAAATAAATATTGAAATTTATAACTATCTTTTTTATTATAAGAATTAATTATTAAATATAAGTTTTTTTACAAGAAATAAAAATATATATATATTCAATAAAAAATTATTTATAAAATATTAATTTCAATTTATTTATTTTTTTAACAGAATTTATTTTGCATAATTTATTATTAATAATTTTTTATTTTATATATAAATTTTAAACTATTTATTTTTATTTTTTTTTAAAAAAAAAACTAATTATTTGAATAATTAATTATATATTTTATTTTATTTTTTTAAAATAATTAAATAAAAAAAAAAATTATTTACTATAATATAAAAAAAATCATTAAATATATTTTTTTTTTAATTTAAAAAAATATTTTAAATTAATCTAAAAGACTTGGATTAATTTAATATATTATTTATTTTTATATGTTTTATTTTCTGTACTAATATAAAAAAAATTTTATAATTTCTTGAAAAATAATAAAACAATTTAAATTTTTCTCAAAACAAATTAAATAATATAAATTATAATTAACATTTACATTTAAATTTATAAAAAATAATAATACAATTATTAATTATTATTAATTTTTTTTAAAAAAAACATATAATAATTAGAAAAACTATATTTATATATTCATTTATTGACTTCACTAATATTTTTAATTTTTTGTTTTAACTTTTATTATTTTTTATTTAGAAATATCTAATAATAACTTTTTTATATATTTTAAATTTAATATAAATAATTTCCTTACATTAAAAATAAAAGAAATTATTTCTACTATAAAATACATTTCATTATTATTTGAATTTTATTCATTTATTATGTTAGAGTATTTTAATTAGTTAGAATGCTTTAAACAAATAGCATCATATTTTATAATATTAAACGATAAAAAAATATATTAAAAATAAATTTAATTAATTTTAAGAAAATTACTTTTATATTTAAAACAATTAACTATAAAAAAATAAAATATTATCCTTCTCTTTTCCATTAAAAAATAAAAAAATAAAAAAATAAAAAAAAAATATAATAGAAAATACTAGAGAACATATAAAAAAAGCTAACAAAAAATCAAAAAAAAAATGGACTATTTATCAAACAAATTTTAATAAATTAAAGAGTAAACGGTAATAATCGAAGAAAAGCTTTCCAAATTAAATGGCGAATAAGGAGTTAAGAAATACTTAAGAGGTAAATTTTTAGGTAAAGGAGGTTTTGCAAAATGTTATGAAGTGACTAATTTGGACACTAAAAAGGTCCTTGCAGCAAAAATAATTCCGAAACAAACCTTAGTAAAAAATAAGGCACGTTCAAAATTAATATCTGAGATAAAAATTCATAAAAGCCTATTTCATAATCACGTAGTTTTATTTGAACATGTATTTGAAGATCATGAAAATGTATATATATTATTAGAACTATGTCCTAATAATACATTAAATGAACTACTTAAGAAAAAAAAAGATTCACGGAACATGAAGTACAAGCATATGTAAACCAAATAATAAATGCTCTAAAATATTTGCATAATTCAAAAGTCATACATAGAGATTTAAAACTTGGAAACCTATTTTTAAACGAAAAATTAGATATAAAACTAGGAGATTTCGGTTTAGCAACGAAACTGGAATTTAATGGCGAAAAAAAACATACCATTTGTGGTACACCTAACTATATTGCTCCTGAAATTCTAGATGGAAAAGTAGGTCATTCATATTAAGTTGATATTTGGTCATTAGGAGTTATTATATATACTTTATTAATAGGAAAAGTAATTTTATAAATAAATGTTTATATATATTTATTTAAATAAATAATTATATATATAATTTTTATATTTTTATTTCAATAGCCTCCTTTTGAAACAAATGATGTAAAATCTACTTATAAAAAAATAAGAAGTAATTAATATTATTTTCCGGAAAACGTTTAAGTTTCTGAAAACGCTAAAAATTTAATTTCTCGAATTTTAAATTTAGATCCTAATAAAAGGCCTACTTTGGATGAAATTTATAATCATTCTTTTATTTGTAATAATCATTAAATTAGTTTAATTAAGGCGAATTCTTTAGTGTTAATTCCGACTTTTTAAACTTCTTATAAACAATAGTTTCCGAATAATTCTTAAAAATAAAATAATATGAGGTAAACTGACTATTTTAATAATGACAAAAATTAATAAAATTAAACTAAAATTTTATAAAAAAAATATTAAGTGGAATATAATAATAATAAAAATAATAATAATAAAAAAATTAATAGTAATATTAAGAATAATAATAATTTGAATAAAATAACTTCATAAAATTTATAATAAAAAGAAATATAGAATAGACCTTTAACATAAACTACTATTACTTAAGGAAAGTATTTTAATTATTTTACTAGCACATAAAGTTTTGGTAAAATAAATAATAATAATTTATTTTCAGTTGTTAACAATAATAATCCTAATGTAGAATTTAATACAGTTCAAGTTCTTTAATGGGTAGATTATTCAGCAAAATATGGGCTTGGTTATATTTTATCTAATGGATGTTATGGCGTTTATTTTAATGATTCGACAAAAATTATATTAGATAATGAACTTAGTAATGTAAAATATATAGAAAAGTAAAATGCTGATGTTATTTAAAATTTTAATTTATAAGAATATCCATAGGAATTGAAAAAAAAAGTGACTCTTTTATTACATTTTAAAAGTTATTTAAGTGAAAAAGTTATTGTATAAGAAAATTAAATTAATTAAAAGGGAAAAGATAATGAATTATATGTAAAAAAATGGATGAAAACTAAATATGCGATATTATTTAGATTATCAAATAAAATTGTTTAGGTTTGCTTTACAGATAAAACTGAAGTTTTAATATGTAATTAATATAAAACAGTGTGTTATATTGATAAGAAAAAATAAAAAATTTATTCTTAACTTTCAAGTGCTTTGGAAAATGAGAATAATGAAATGTCTAAAAGAATAAAATACACAAAAGATATATTAAATAAAATGCTAAATAGTAATAATATAGGCGGAATAAAAAAAGTTAATAATTAATTTAATATATAAGAAAAAGAAAATAACAATATCTGAGATATATTATTAATATGATTATAATATTATAATTTTTAAAAAATTTATCTAATTATATTTTTGAAAAAAAATAAATAAAAAAATTATATATAACAATTTAAAAACTATTATTTTTGCTAAAAAAAATATTAAAAATATATCAATAAGAAAAAATAATATAGTAACGAAATATATATGCAAATATATATATTATATATTTATATATTTATATATTTATATATTTATATATATTTTTTTTTAATATTTTTCTATTATATTAATATAATTATAATTCATTTTTAAAATCTTGAAATCAAAAATTATTTAAAATCTTTATATATATTGAAAAATTATAACAATTTATAATAATTTATTTTATCACATATTTATAGATTATACAAATTTTATAATATCTTTTTTATTAGCTTTTTTTTTAGAAAAAAATGGATGTCCTAAAGCTTATTAAACTCCAAATCTTTCTTCTTTATTATAATCAATTAAATGTTCAATAAGATTATATAATTCTTTAACTTCTTATTAAAATTAATTATCGTCTTATAATAAATAATCTTTCTCAATGATAACTTTTGCTTATTTTTTCCAGAAATTTTCATAATCTTTATAATAAATAAATTTATATTTTGAATCATAAATACTAGCATTATAAAATGGATAATTTTTGGTAATTAATCTACAAAAAACAACGCCTACAGCAAAAGTATCATATTTAAATAAATTTTCAATTGAATCTTTTATTGATATTTATTCATTAGAAAAGTTAGATAAATTATCTCTTTCTATAATTATTTACTCAGGACATGAATATTTTAATGTGCCACAAACTTCCGATTATAATTTGCCTGCGAATGAAAAGTCAATAATTTTTAAATCAAAGTTTTTATCAATTATCATGTTATCTTCATTAATATCTCTATTTGCAATTCCTATTCGATGTATTTATTTTAGTCCTGTAAATATTTAAAATGTAAAATATCTTAAAATAGATAAGGTTATTTGTGTATATTTTTAAGATTTTACTATTTAACCTAAACTTCCATTTTCTCCATATTCTAAAAATATTGCGTTTGAATTATATGATTTATTATTAAAATCAAAAAAATAGTTTCTTATGCTAAATTTATATTCAATTATATGAATTGTTTCTTATTTATTTTCTGAATTATCATTTTTATATGCTTATTAAATTTTTGTTAATGCGTCAACTTCACGTTTAAAAGATTCTAAAAATTTTTCGTCCATTAAATCTTTTTTGACGGCTTTTAATACTATCAATTCATTATTTTAGTCTTTGCATAAAAATATTCTTTTATTTTTAAGGAAAGAAAATATATAGATATTTTTTTAAAAAATAAATAAATTTACTTTCCATAAGAACCTTTACCGATTTTTTACAAAACCTAAATTTTATTCATTTACATTTTATTAATTAATATATATTTTTTTTTTTTTGAATTTTTAGATTTTTTTTGTTTTTTTTTTTCAAGTAAATATAAATAATGATGAAAACATTAATAAAAAATAAAAAATAGATTAATAAATATTTTTAAATATAATAAATATGATGTAATAATAATATTGAATTTGTTTTTTAAAATATAATATTAAATAAAGTTTGATTTATATATATTTTAAAAATTTAAATATTAATATATGAAATTATTATAGATTTATTAATATGAAAATTACATATATTAATAATTTTTTATAAGAAAATATACAAATCAATTTAAAACAAAAAAACTATTAAAAATATTTATATTTTATAAAAAAATCTATCTAAAAAAGTAATATATATATATACTAATTATCTGTTTATAAAAAATAATAAATATATTTATTAAGTTATTATTAATAATTAATAAAAAAATATATTATATGAAATATTACTTCTTAATAATTAATTATATATAAAGATATTAGCTATTTTTTTTGTATATATTAAATTTTCTGCTTTCATATTAATTTATAATTTATAAACATTCAACAATAGCAAAATAAATGCGAAATTCATAAAAGAATATATATTAGAATATAAAGATAGTATATATAATATATTGTATGTAATATACTATTATTAATTTATATTATAAACATTTATTAAAATCAAAATTAAATTTTATATATATATTATTATTATATTTTTTATATATTTTTTATATAATTTATTTAAAAACAATTATGAATTTAAATTGATAAATAAAATAGTAAAATATATAAATATAATTTATAAAATTTGATATATATGTATATATAAATAATTTTTTTTATATTTATTTGATCAATAATATTTTTAGAAACATATTTAAATATTATTTTTTATATAATTTATTTTTTGAATATTTAAGAAAATTAAATATTAAATTAAAAAAAATACTTAAAAGATAGAACATATATATTTCTTTTTATATATATCTTAATATATATCTTAATATTATCGCATTTTTTTAAAATTTATTTATTATATTAATAGGTACTATTTTCTATTTTAACAAAATAGAGATATAATTATTTTTTTAAAATAATATTTATTTATTATTACCTGTTTTCAATAATTTTATAGATTTTTACTAATTTTATATTTTTGTTTTTATTAGTTTATAATTTTATTAAAATTAATTTTTATTTTTATTTACAAAAAACTAAAAATAAAAATAAAAAAAAATCAATATAAATTTAATAAATCATTTTCTTTAATTTTTTAATATAAAAAAAAAGTGTACTATAAAAAGTAAAATATATATAAATATTTATATAAATTAAATATATAATATTAAAAAATTAAAAAAATGGATACTCTTCCATCAAACCATTTCTTATTCACATCTGAGTCAGTAACCTTAGGTCATCCTGATAAACTCTCTGACTACATATCTGATTCTGTTTTAGACGCTTGTTTAGAAAAAGACCCTGAATCCAAAGTAGCTTGTGAGACTGCTTGCAAGAATTCCACAGTTATGGTATTTGGTGAAATATCGTCAGCCTATCCAAATATAGTATACGAGCATGTAGTTCGTTAGGCTATAAAAGAAGCGGGTTATGACAGTATTGATAAAGGTTTAGATTACAAAAATGTCTTCGTAATGGTCGCGTTAGATTAATAATCAATTGAAATAGCAGATGCAGTCCATAAAAATAAAAACTACGAAGATGTAACAGCAGGAGATTAAGGTCTTATGATTGGTTATGCTTCTGATGAAACTAAAGAAATGATGCCTTTAACCCATTTGTTATGTAATAGATTAGTCGAAAGATTAATGGAGTGTAGATAGGGGGGTATTTGTGATTGGATGAGGCCTGATGCAAAAGTATAAGTTACAGTGGAATATAAATAAGAAGGAACTTAAATTACTCCCTTGAGAGTACATACAGTTTTGATTTCATAATAACATATTCCTTCGATTTCTTATGAGAAGATTTAACACGATATTCTTACTTAGGTCATTAAGGTTGTTATCCCTGCTAAATATTTAGATGATAAAACTATCTTCCATATTAACCCTTCTAGATCTTTTATTGTAGGAGGACCCTGTGGAGACGCTGGGTTAACAGGAAGAAAAATCATCGTTGATACCTATGGAGGATGGGGTGGTCATGGAGGTGGTGCCTTCTCTGGAAAAGATCCGACTAAAGTTGATAGATCAGCAGCTTATGCAGTTAGATGGGTAGCTAAGTCTTTGGTTAGTAATGGTTTTTGTAAAAGAGCGTTAGTTTAGGTCTCTTATGGAATCGGTATTGCGAAACCTTTAAGTATTTATGTTAATACTTATGATACAGCAATATAAGGATACAATGATTTTGATTTAAAAGATATTGTTGTAAAAGCTTTTGATTTAAGACCAGGTATTATTATTAGAGATTTGTAGTTGAAAAGACCTATTTATAAAAAAACTGCACATGGAGGACATTTTGGAAGGGATGATCCTGATTTTACTTGGGAAATTCCTAAAGATTTATCATAATATAAAAAATAATAATGAGAAAAGATAATGAAATTTTTTATATATATATAATATTTAAAAAATTAATTATTTGTGATATTATTTTTATTTTTGATAATTTTTTTAAAGATTTTTTTTTTTTAATTGTTTTATTAATTTGGCTTATTTTTTTTTATATTTTTATTTTTTTACATTTAGATAATTTTTTATTTTATTTTTTTAATGACATTGAGTTAATTTTTAAAATGATATTAAATTAAATATAAAATTTTATATACTAAAATATAAAAAAAGGATAATAATTGTAATAATCTAATATTATATCTAAGTAAAAAATAATATATATATGATTTTTATAATAATATTAAAATATATTTTTTAGATTATACATAATATATCATATGAATTTTGGATTATTAATATATATCTCTTTTTTTATTAAAAAATAAAAAATTATTAATTTTATAATAAACAAAATAGTTTATTATTTTAATATAATACAAAAAAAAAAATAGTTAAGTAAAGTACATTATTTATGAAAAAAATAAAAATTTCAATATTAGTATCTTTATTCTAAATAATAATTAAACATTTAAGTTTGTACAAACTTTTAAATGAATTATTCTTAATTTCCTTATTTTTAAATAAATTATTATCTAATTTAATCATAATCAAGTTATTTCTTTATTTAAATAATAAATTTTATATTTTTTTTTTTTTTTTTAAATATATATTTTTTTTATTACATTATCATTAAGTATTAATTAATTTGGTAAATAAATGAGTATATGATTTTGAAAGTAATTTTTTAAACAATTAAAAACCTTAATACAAATTTATTATTTTTTAAAGTTTTCTTAATACATTTCTATTTCACTCAATTAATTATTAAATTCATTTAATTAATTTAATTCATAAAATATTGGTTCTAGTATATTTACTAATTATTAATATAATTTATTTTAATAAATAATTTCTTTCTTTTAGCTTATTCCAAAACTATCTAAATTAATAAAAACACAATGTCCATGTGTTTTATTAAATTATTTTTCTTTAATAAATTAATAACCTTTATTAACTCCCATAATAAAAGGAACTGGAGAATCAAACATATGAATTAAATCATTTGTTAAAAATGTAATTATTGGAAAAAGCCATCTAAAAGGTTTTATTATTGAAATAAAAAGTAGCCTGAAAAAAAAATATATATATAATATATATATATATATATATATATATATATATATATATATATATATATTGAAAAAAAATTATTTTACAATGTTTATGTTAATAAAGTACTATTTTTAGAAACAAATACTAAATTCTCTTCTAAAAGTAAAGAAAATAATAAATATACAAATTCATAAACATTCATATTTGAAATAGCATTTACCATTCCCCATTTGGATTCTAGATAGAGACATTCTTATTTACAAGGTATATCTAGTGTAAGTAGTTCTTTATAAAATTTAAGTTTTAAGCCATAATCTAAAGAATAATTTACTTTAATACATTAATCAATTATTTTTAAAGTTTCAGTGCTTTATAAATTCTTATATTTTATAAAAATTGATATATATACATTAATATAAACAACAATATATATATAAATATATAAATATATAAATATATATATATATATATATATATATATTAATTTTATATTTACTTTTAAATATTTAATATCTATGCTTAACTAATTATCATATTAATTTTCTTTTATTTTATTTAGTTTATTAATGTTTACTTAATCTATTTTAAATATAAAATAAATAAAAAATTAATTAATTTAATTTAATATTTATTAAATTCATACTTATTTATTATTCAATTATTTAAAAAAAGAAATCAAAAAATGGATATTTAGAAGTAATACAATAAACATTAGAAGCTGTATAATAATATTATTTATCATTAATTTATTTATATTCATTTGTATTTTAAGAAATAAGGCTTTAATTTATATATTCTTTAGTTACAACACAAACACAATATGTAAGTTTATTTGGATTGCAAATATCTTATAAAGATTCGCTATTTTTAATGCCGGTTTTATCATAAGAATCTTGCGATTTAATAACAAAAATAAAAGCATCTTTATTTTTATCAAGTTTTTTTATTTCTGATAAACTTTTTTTTTTTTTTTTTTAGTAGAAATGAATAAATTAATTTTTTTTAACTTTTTTATATCAATATCAGTATTTTTTCTTTTTTATTTTTTAATTTCAACACCAAAAGGAAATATGAATTAATTTATAACATTAAGTTCTTCAATTTCACTACTTGATTTAGGTTGTGATTATAAATATATTATTTATGAATCTAAACTATAAATTTATTTATTTTTTATATTTTTTAAATATAAAACTAACTTAAAAATTTTAGATTTTATTTTTTATTCAATATTATCTAATTAAGCTGATATTAATAAAAAGTTTTGGATTAATTTAAATTGTTTTTATGATTAGTATTCATTTTTCATTATTTATAAATCATTGTTATTATATCTTTATGATGTTTTTAAACCTTAAATTATATCTACTACACCTTCTTATGTATCTATATTTTCAATTAAATTACTATTAGTATCTACATAATTGTTATTAATGTTACTATTTGTTAAATTTTAACTACTCTTATATAAACTATTTTGTATTCTATTAATATTAAAGTCTTTTTTATTAAAATATATATTTTTTTTTGTATTACTATTGGTAAGAACTTAAAGAACATTTCGATATATCTTTTCTTTTTGAATAGTTTAAATATTGTATTTTTTATATATTATTATTTGCTTTTTTTTTATTATTATATATTAAAAAAAAATAATAGATATAATATTTTTTTATTACTATTGTTATATTATGTGATATCATTTAAGTTTTACTTAAATTTATACTAACTATTGTATTATTAATTGCTTAAATCTTCAAAAATAAATTGTTTTTAAGGCGCTATAATTTAATTTAAGTTTTTGTTTTAATTATTATTATTAGTATTACTTTATAATTAATTACTATTAATACTGTTTTATTTATATTCTTATATATTTTCGTTATTTGAATATTGAGAAATACTTAAATATTGAACATTTTTGTTATGAAAATCCTCTTTATTATTATACCTAGAAGATTAAATCATATAATTGTTTAGTTTATTTGTAATTTATTTTTTAATATTTAAGGATACATTATTTGATGTATTTAATTATTTGGATTAATTTTATGGTTATTATTTTATAATTTCTTGCTTTATTTCATTTTGAATATTACATGGAACAGATGTTTTTCTGGAAATTTATAATTATTCTAAATCATTTTAAGTACTATTTTATAATTTATTACATTGCTATTATAAAATTTAATTATTTTTTAATAAGTCTTCAATTTTATACTTCATATTTTCTTGTATTTCTTCATAATTTTATATTCTTGATAAAAATATATTTGTTTAATCTTGTTATATTTTGTTCTGTTCTTATAATTATTTATTATTTAACGACATTTATTCGAGTTTATTTTTATAATCTTTATTTTAATAATGTAATTCTTCAATTATTTTTAATAAATTATCGTTATATTCATGGCTTTGCTCTAATAATAGTGTTAGTTATTATTTAGAAAATTATTAAAATTTATTTTATTATGAAATAGAAGTCTTTTCTTAAATTTGCATTTTAAATAAAAATGTAATAAATAAATATTGAAAATTTAAAAATTATATATATATATAATAATATATATATATATATATATATATATATATATATATATATATATATTAATTGTTATCTTAAAACTCTCTTATCATTATTAAATTAATTGTAAAAACAGAGAATTATTTTTTAAAAAAATTAACTTAATTAATAATAAACAAAACAACCTTATTCTGTATACATATATAAATTAATAAAATATTGTTTAAATAAAACAAATCAAATATTTAAATTTTTCATATTTTTATAGATCTATAGTATATTTTAGCATGAATGCATGAAACTAATTCTATTAACCCTGGAATTAAACTACATGTTATAAAATAAAAATACTTATTTAAATTTAAAATATTTACCTAAATAATCCAAAAATATACCATAAAGATAAATAATGCCATTTATCTAAAATAAACCATATAAGTAAAAGAAAACCAATTATATGCAAATAAATTTCTTTTATTTTTAAGTTTATATATATATAAATAATAATATTATTTTTATTACATATTATATTAATTTAATCATAAAGCATAGTTATTCCATAAATAACTATTATTATTTCAATTAATGTAAATAAAATTATTAATCCTCCTGCTGCTAAACAACTGTTTTAATAAATAGTTAATTATTAATTAGTATTTATAAACATACTTATTTTCGGCTTCTTTATATTCAGATGAATTTATTTTCGCATTTGCTGATATACCTGCAAATACATTTTCATACTATTTAATTTGGTTTTTTTGTTTTAAAGTTAATAAATTAAATTTATTAGATTATTTTAAATTACATATGAATATAAAACTATACAACCAGCAATAAGCTAAAGAAATAAAGTAATAAATTTAATAGGGTTAATTACAAATGCTGCAGTCATTAGTAATATATAAATTATTTATTTATGAATAAAAAGTTATTAATATTTTTAAAAATAAAATATATATGAATATTGTTTTTTTATTTTTTAAAAAAAATATTAAAACATTTTGCATTTTTGAAAATAAAGTTAAAAAATAAATTTTTTTATTATAAATTTTATAGAATTTATTTCATTAAATATAATCTTAATAATATAATAATTTTTTTCTTATTTCTATTATAAATAATTATAAAAAATATTAAATATAATAGTATAAAAAGTATTTATAAGTACATATGTAATATTACAGTTTAACATTATTTGTATTTATATATATATAGAAATATTTAATTATTATTAACTTTTTAAATTTTTGATAATATTTTTTTTTCTTATAAATATACAAATTAAACTATTTTTAATAGTTTTGATAAATGGATAAGCTTTTATTTTTATATATTTTATAAAAAATTTTTTAGTAAAATTATATAATAATTAATTAAAAAAATTATATTTTTAATTTGTATCTCATTCTCCAATACATTTTACTTTAAACAAAGTAAACCAAGAATCTTCTTTTTTTGCTTTTCTGATTAAAATTACTATTTAATTTTCCTTTATTTAGATTTTAGATTTTTCAGGATCAAGACTATACATAGTTCTTGGAGCAGAAAACTAATAATTTTTTCCATTAAATTCATGCACTTTTAATTCAAAGCTTGTTTCTAAAAATCTGCAAGATATTTTTTTTGCGTTATGTTAATGTATTTTTGGAAAATCTAATAATACTCTTTAATTTAATTTGTAAAAAATTTAATATGATTGAATTTTTAATTTTAAAAAAATAAAATACTTAACACTCCATTCTCCTGATTCATAAAAAGTAAAATTCTTAATTGTTTCATAATATATTTTTTTTTCATCAACTCGTCCAACTGCAATAGGTTATGGCTAATCTTTTGTTTTATTATTTTAAAAATTAATATACAATTTGTTATTAAAAAAAAGAAAAATATTACCACAAATTATATATACATCACTTTTTTAATCAAAAAAGTTACTAAAAAGCATATTTAAATTTTTTATTGGTTTTGCACTAATAATTAAATATTTTTTAAATAAAATAAAATAAAATATAATACCTTTCGTTAGTTAAAAGTTAAGCATATTATAAATTTATATCAGTTCTAGTTTTGGCAGCATCTTAAATAAAATTATTTAATGTATAATCATTATCTAATTTATCTTAGGGTATTTCATGTAAATATGTTTAATATTCTTATTCTGAATGTGCGAATTTTAAATGAACATAAACTTTCATTTTATTTTATTAATTTAATATATTAACTTTTTTAAAAGATACATATAAAAAAAAATATTAATTATTAATTTAATTTTTAATTAATAAATTGCTTATATATTTTTTATTCATAAATTATTTATATATTTTTTAAAAGTAGATACTTATAGAAATATTATATATATTTTGAATATAATTTGAATATAAATATAATTTTAATAGAATTAAATAGAATTAAATCGATTTATGAATTATAAGAGTTTTTTTTTATATAAATAATAAAAATAAAATAATTTTAAGTTTTTAATAGACTTTAAATATTATTAAATAAAGTTATTAAAAAAAAAAAAAAAAAAAATTAATAAAATTATTTAATATATCTATATATAAATTATATACTAACATAAATTTTTTATTTTTTATATATAAATTTAAATATCTTTTGAAATTATTTATTCTATTTTTTAAAAAAATATATAAATAGATTTGTTTTAAAACACTATATTATTATTATTTCATTTTTTTATATTTGTATTTTTTTTTTAATAAAAATTGCATAATCTTTCAATTTATTTTCATATTTCTATTCTTTAATTATAAAAATGAAAAGCTTTTTAGGTGAAATTTATTTTGGGATAAAAAAAAAATTAATATAGAAAAAAAAAAGATATTATATCAAATATTTAGAAAACTAATAATAAAGTCAAATTGTAAAGCATTTAAATATTTTTTACCTTTCATATATTTATTATATATCTTAGAAAAATTAGTTCAGTATTTTATAATAATTATATATTCAATTCAAACAATTAAATTCTTAAAATATAAATAGAGGTTAGAATTTTATATAAAATATTAATTTATTAAGATATTTAAGTATAGTTTTGATTTCACCAAAAAAAAATTAATTTAAAATAATAATAGCGCAAATAAAATTAAAGTTAATTTGTTTAATAAAAAAATAAATTAAAAATAAAGAAAATAAATAATATTTAAGTAAATCTGTCATTTTCCCAAAAAAAAATATTAAAAGAATTAATTTAAAACTTATTAAAAAAAAAAAATACAAAAAATTTAAAAATAAAATAATAATTATATTAAAGCAAAATAAAATATAAAAAAACAGATTAATTTCATATAAATTATATTTATGCTTATTTCTATATATTTATTTTAAAAAAATATTTACTTATTTAAAATTAAAATAATATTAAATCTAATTTCTTATATATAAATAAATAATACATATTATCATTTCTTTAAACTACTCCTATATTAAATGCATCCTTTTTACATTGTCTCAATCCATTTTGGAGGTTATCTAGCCGCAATATAATTAACAATTTATTTCGGCACAACTCCTTTAACATCACTTTAAGTTAATATAGTTAATGAAGTGTCATTTCCCTAAGGTCTAATAACATACCCAGAAATATATGAATGTGCCCTTAAGAACCCTTTTTTTTCCGGACAAGAAGGATGAGAAGTACTATAAAATGCAATAGTAATATATCCTTTTTAAGGATAATCTTTTTAAGAATTCTAGTTTAGCAAAAATCTCTTTTAGAAACTCCTAAACCAGGATCAATATAAAAATAAATGACATCCAACCCTTCCTAAATAGTATCTACAACTTGAAATCCTAAAGTCACTTTATCCCATTATTATCTTATTTTTGCGTCATATATTTACACAAATACTTCTTCGGAAGTACATCCTTATATAAGTGCTTCCGCTCTTACCAAAACACAAGGGATTCCCTGGAATCATCTTTGTAAAAATTGATATTGTATTTCCTTTTCTAACTACTGATTCCCAATTATTGTGGGCTATCTCTGGGTTTTCGCTTATTAATTCAGTTAAATTTTTGAGTTTTTCCATATTTTTGATTTTAAATTGTGTATTTCGGTCTTCTGTTTTTTCCGAGTATTGGCATTTTTATTTGTTTGTCTAAGTGTTGAATTTTTAGTTTTCTTAGTTTTTCTCGCCTTAAGTTATTAGTAAATTATTTTATTATAAATTAATTTTATTATCTGTATCGAAATCTGAATTCAATTTCTAAAAAGGAATATTTTAATTTAAATTTAAAGATTAAGATTAAATAATTTCTTTGTTTTTTATTAAGGAAGAATTTCTAGTTTTTTAATATATGGAATTTCATTTGTTTTTTTGGATTTTCCTTTTTTAGAAAAGGAAGTTTGGTTAAAAACACTTTCGTTTTCAGCGTTATTTTTTGGAAGTTTATCAAATATAATTTTTAAAGTAGATTATTTCATGAAAATATTAAAGTCTTTTTCTTATTTATTTTCTTCTGTTTTTATCTCTTTTTCTTTTTCTTGAGATATTTATTCTTCTTTTTGTTAATTTTCAATTTTTTATTCTTCCTCAATACAATTCATATATAAGTCGATCACTCTGCCTTGGATTTAATCACTTTTATCTTTATTAGTCTTATTTTATTTATGGTTAATTTCGTTATTTAGTTACTAGTCATTTATAGGAGATACACCTTTTACTTCATTTTAATTGGCACTTTTAGTCTCATCATTATAAATAAAATCTTAAATAAAAACTTAAATGTGTTCTTATTTGAAGAGTTTTTTGAAAGATTGTGTTGTTATAGGCTTGTCTAGGAAAACGTCGATTTCTTGTATTTTATTTTTTAAATTTTGATTATGTGTTTTTTATTTAGAGTCTATTAGTTTGAGTATATAGTAATTTTTTATTAATTTTTCAACTGAAAACATATATTTTTTAAGTTCAGAGTTTATTCGAATTTCTTTTATTTTGGAAATTTAATAAATAGGGTAAAAAACATTGAAAACAACATCTATTATTTATTATTCAAAGTGTTCTTAGTTTTTCTAATTTTCTTCTAATTTTTCTTTACTTTTTAAGTTTTCTTGTAAAATTTTTATATTTTAATTTAAAATTTGTTTATTTTTTTATATTTCTTATTAAATATCATTATTTTATTTTTAAATTTCTTTATTTTTTTCTTATATTTTTTAACTTTTTTCTTATGTTTTAATATTTTTTTATTAAATTTCTATATTATTTTAGTTTTCTTATAATATTTCTTTGTTTTTTAAAAAAATTAATTATAATTTTCAATAAAAATATCTTTATTTTTTTATTCTTATATTTTCATTTTAGTCAATTTTTTTATTAATTTTAAAGCTTCCATATTTTATTTATTATTTTATATAAAATTAATAAACATCTAAAGAATATTTATTAATTTGCTATGAAATTTAGTTCGAAAATATTGTATAAAACATATCATTTTTAACTACTCAATAATTTTTTCTATATAATATCTATAAGTATTTAAATCATTCTTATATTTTCCTACCAAAGACTTTCCATAAATAATAAAGCATTCCATCTTTAATAAAAGAAGATAAAACAATTAAACTTTCTATTTAAATTTTTTTTCTTTTTAATCTTCTAACCTGCATATTAACCTATAACACCTCCTGCAACCGCTCCTGCAGCTGAAACAATCGGATTTAACCCTGAAGCTAGTAAACCTATTGTACCTAAAACAGTAACTCCAAAAATACCACCCATAGCACGGTTATTTCCTAATTGAACATTCAAGAGTAATTAGTTAATTTATTTATCAAAATTTTGATTCCATTCTAGGGTGGGCCTATATTTATTTTCTTGGAGTATATTTAAATAAAATTATGTGTCTTTTTATGTATATTTTTTTAATTATTAAGTATATTTTTTTTTTTTTAGATTTCGCTTAATTTTTTAGCTAATTAATATTATTTTTCATTTTAATTTTTGTATATTATTGATTATGGATATATTGATTCTAAGGGATTTAAGTTTATTTATGTAGGATTTAATATTGTTTCTTATATCTAATTATTTGTTTGCATTTTTAATTTTATTTTATTATTTATTTTATTAGTTGATTTTTAAATAAAGTTGCTTTTATTAAGTAATTTTGTTTATTCGATAGAATTTTTGTATTTTATGTTTAATAAAAAATAATAAATATGAAAAAATAAAGTATAAAAATAATTAATATATATTTAATAATTATTTGTTTTTATTTAAAATAAAAAATATGTAAATTTTTAATATATTTTTAGACTTATTATTAATTATTAATAAAAAGGTATTTTATCATTTTAAATATATATAAATTAATAATTTTAAATATTATTTATTTGTTTTTTTAATATTTATGTTTATAATTATAATTTATGTAGAAATGAGTTATTTGAATTAAAATGGTGATATTAATAATAAATTAAATTTATTTCGAATTTATAATTTTAATGAAAATAAAAAATAATAAAATAATAAATATTAAATTTTAAAAATTAATAATTAAATAATGAATATAAATTATTACAATAAATTATTATATATATTATTTACGTGATTAAATATTTTTTATAATAAAAATATCACATTAAATTGATAAATAAATATGAAAAAATAAAAGATAATTTTAAAAATAATAAATAATATATAAAATTTTAAAATTGATTAAAATTTATTTATAAATAAATTATAAATTTTATATAATTATTAAAAAAATTAGAAAAATATAAAATTAAAATATAAAATAAAAGTGTAAAATATAAATATATATATATATATATATATTTATATATACATTTATCTATATATATATATATAATTTTTATTTAGTTTATCATTGATTATTTTTAAACGGGTCTATTCTACAAACAGGACACTACTTTTTTTTTTTTAACCATTCATCAATACAAATTTTATGGAAATAATGATCACATTTAAATTTTCTTATCTTTTCACCTATTATAAACCTATTTAAACATATAATACAATTATCATCTTCTTTATTTATTTTTTTATATTTGAATACATCGTCTATTTAATTAAGTTATTATTCAGAGGCTCCTTCAATTATATTTTACTAACTTTCAAATAAATACATAATATATATAAATTAATAAATTTATCTAAATAATCTTGACCTTAAATGATATTAATAATTAGAAAAAATTAAAACATTTCTTTAATCTGTAAAAAATTATTATTATTATTATTATTATTATTATTATTATTATTATTATTATTATTATTACTTAATTTTCTTATTATTGAAATTATATTTAATTTTATAAATTTCTTCTATGAAAATAAGAAATACATTATATTAAAATGATTTGACATATAACTATAAAAAATAATAAATAATATTTATTTGTGTACAACTATTAAAGAAAAAAAAAAAAATCGCTATTTTAATAAATATCTTAATCATATTTCGTGCATTTATTTATTAATATCCTTAATTTTATGTTCTCTAGATTTATCTAAATAAATTTTATTATATTTAATGTTAAATTATTTACGTTTAATTTTAAAAAATACTATTACTATCTACTTAATTAAATAAAAAGATAGGATCAAATTAATTATTTCTTATATTATAAAATTATTCAAATATATCTTAACTATTTTAGATATTTTATTGTGAATTATTTATTATATTATTATGAAAATCTTACTATTAATCTGTTTATTGTTGAATTTGTATATTCTCATTATTTATGTTAGGGAGTTATTAATTATTATTTTATTATTATGCTTTTTCATATTAATTTTATTCTGATTATATTTTATTATTTATTTATTAATTTTCATTTTATTCAGTTTTGATGCGAGCTTTTTATAAATTTTAATTGTATATTTAATTTACGCATTCTTCAATTTCATTAATATTTGTTTTCATAACTTTTTTTTTAATATTTTATTTAATTTTAAAAAATTTATATAAATATATATATATTTATATATAATAAAAATTTAAATATTTTATCTTTATAAAATAAATATATAATTATAATTATATTATATATTATTTATAAAATTTTTAAAATGTTTCTTAAATCTTTAAATAAATAATATAAAAAAAATATTACATAAGAATAATATTTAATTATTAAAAAAAAAATAATACAAATGTAAACATAAATATAAAGATTAAATATAAATAAAAAATATAATAATGTTTAACTTATACAAACAAAAGTATATAAATAAAGAAAATTAAATCAAAATAATTAAAACTCTAAACTTTTTTTTTAAGTAAAAAAAATCACCAACATAAAAATCTATCGAACCATTTAAATCTTCTAATAAGTGCTTTTCTTATTTCTTCCCAAAGTAACAAAAACATCGAAAACGGTAACCCAGGAATTCCAAACTACCAAAAATCAATGGGTCTTCCTCCGAAAATTTTCTAAACACCAGGTGTATAAAAAAGGAATACGCATAATACAGTTTCAACAAGAATTCCTATAAGCATAACACTATTGAAAGGAGATGTAGTAAAGGACATTTTTTTACTTTTGCAAGCAAAAACATTACTCCATTAAACCAGTACAACAGCTGCAAAAAAAGCTGTTTAAGCATAAAATAAGGCCTATGTAGAATAACATACTTGATTATTAGTAATAGGAGATTTATCACTAGAACCACATTAAGGAAATTCGTAATCTTTAAATTTTTGGAATTTACCATCTACACATTTATAATAGGCATTTTATATATTCTAATCAGAATTCGGATTTGAGAAGTCGAAATAGTCGAATTTTAAATCCTAAGGGCAACATCTCCAATTTTTATATCGTTAGTAATAGAATATAAAATAGGGAATTTGTCATATTATAATTAATACAAAATCTAAGGACTTAATCCATAATAATTCCTTTTTTTGTATAAAAAAGATATAAATATAAAAAAAAATACTTAATGAATATGTAAATAAAAAAATTTATGTTTATATATATATAAAATAATAATAAATATATAACATTGTAGTAAAATAAGCCGCAAAACCTCCACATGTAGAAATAAGTCCCATTAAAAGATAGGCATGAATAATGAGTTTTGCAGATACCAAATGGTCATCTTTTTTTCTTGGTTTTCTAGTCATTATATCGATTTCAGCTTCCTCATAAGCTAAAGAAATCGCGGGTAATATATCAGTTCCTACACAAATACATAAAACAAACATACTAGAAAGTGGTAAAGGATATCCAAAAATAACATTAATTAGAAAAGGAATTAATTAAGGAATATTTGAAGTTAATAAATATACAATTGTCTTCTTTAAATTATCGAATATTTTTCTACCTTCTTCAACTCCATTTATTATAGAAGCAAAATCATCATCTAAAAGAATCATATCAGCAGCATCTTTTGTTACATCAGCACCACTTAAATTCATAGAAATACCTTATTTATTTAAAAAACAAGATTAAATGTATAAAAGTAAACAAATATTAATAATAATATGATTTATTTAAATTTATAAATAAATATATAAACAATTACATTAAAAAGTAAAAAATTTAATAATTATAATATTACTATATATATATATATATATATATTTATTTAATTATATATTTATTTATATATATAATTACCTATATCTGCTTATTTTATGGCAGGAGAATCATTTACACCATCACCTGTAACAGCACATATATATCCTTGACTTTAACAGGCTTTTACTATTTAGAGTTTTTAAGCAGGCGTTGTTCTCGCAAATACACAGTAATCTTTTTTTACCCATTATCCTATATAGTATAATTCTTAATTATTTTCTTCTTTTTCTCGTTCTAAAGAGTCCATTATTCTATCTCCATGGACTACTATAGCTTTGGCTTTTTAAATTGCTTCATCCCAACTGATCCCTGGATTTTTTTCCATTATATCTTCATTGGTTTCCACATTTCTTGGAATTATATTACATTCTCGAGCTATAGCTGCTGCAGTAGGAGGTTGATCTCCTGTAACCATAATAACTTTAATTCCTGCACTTCTACATTCCAATACTGCATGAGGTACTCTTGTTTTAGGGGGATCTATTAATGATATAAGCCCTACAAAAGTGAAATTTTCTAACTTGAAATTATAATTAATCTTCGAAGAAACATTAAAATAACTTTAATTTAATTAAAACTCTTCTCTTAATAAATGCAATTTAGCAAATCCAAGTACTCTTTCTCCTCCCTTTCCAAACCTTAAATTGACATCGTTAAATTTTCTGTCCCATTCTTATTAAATTTCGACTTTTCGTTGCTCAAGTAGTATATATTTGCAAAATTTCCATATTCTTTCTGGAGCACCTTTAATATATATACAATAATCAGAATCATTAGTACTTTATTCTACTATTGTCAATGCGAATTTATCGTTTGCATTAAAAGGCATTCTCGCAGGAGCACCTTCTTTAGTTTTCGCAAACTTGAACTTCATACGTGTTTTTTCCACGTCTTCTATAGATTAATAAAATCGCAAAAGACCAGTTTCTGTAGCATCCCCGAAAACTGGACATTTAGAAAAGTCTATATCTTCTCTATTTATATTTTCTTCAATATTAAACTAAGCTTCTGAAGATAAAATTGCATTTAAATGTAAAGCCTGGAAGCCTCTATCATTTATATCATATTCTAAGTCCTATGTAATAGGCAATTGAGACTTATTGACTGCATTTATGATTTATCCGTTATACCACATATGTTTTACAGTCATCACATTCTAGGTTAATGTACCTGTTTTATCTGAACATATGCAGGATGTGGAACCTAGTGTTTCTACAGCTTCCAGATTTTTTACTAAAACCATTTTATCAGCTAACTTTTTAGCTGTTATTGCTAAAGATATTGTTATACAACCTAAAAGACCCTCTGGAACGTTTGCAACTAATATCCCTATACCATTAGATATAGAATTTGCTACTCCTGCCTTTATTACAAGTAAGTCTAATATGAAAAATAAAAAACCTAGACTAACTCCGATTATACTAATCATTATTACAAATCTTAAATTTTTAATATTTTTTCATATAAAAATAAAAATAAATAAAAATACCTATCTAGTTCTTTTCTTAAAGGAGTTTTTACTTTCTATCCGCTAGAAGCTAAATCTGCAATTTAGCCTAAAGTAGTATTATCTCCGATTCTAATGACTACTCCTTTTCCTATTCCTGATGTACATAAAGTCCCAAAAAATGCCAAGTTGGAAGTTTCTAAAGGGTTTAAGGGATGAGAGCAGTCTATGGTTCTTAATAAGGGTTCAGTTTCTCCTGTAAAAGGAGAATTATCGACTTTCATTTCCATACTTTCGATAATTCTGATATCTGCTGGTATCTTCATTCCGGCTTTGATTTAAACAAGATCTCCTATAACTAATTTTTCTACAGGAATTTATTTAAGCATACCATCACGGAATACATAGCATACTTAAGGTAAGAAATTTTTAAAGCCTTCCATTAATGCTTCACTTTTAGCAGTTTACATATATGTAAGATAACCAGTTAATAAAATAATAAACATTAAAACTATAGCAACATATAAATTAGATGTTTATGAAGTATCGATTCCATATGTAATAAAACATAAAACAGTACAAACCCAAAGCAATATTGCAAATCCATTCGATATTTCTTTGAAAAACCTTAGCCATCCCGGTAATTTTTTCTTTTCAGTTAATTTATTATCACCTAAAATTAATATTAAATTAATTATTATAAACAAAAAATAATATTAAGAAATATATAAATGTAAATATATATAAAATTTATTATATATATTATATAAATATATTAATATATATATATATATATATATATATATTTATTACCATCTTTTTAATTTAGTTATATAGCTATAGCTTCTTATAAACCTTATTTAAAATCTGTATTTAATCTTTTTCGCAAATCTTCTAAAGGAATTCTATGATCGTCCATCAATCCAAAAGCTTCTTTTGTTTATGCTTTTTTTTCCTCTGGATCATCTATATGTGGTTATATTGCTTTATATTAAGAGTTAGGTTCCTTGTATTTTTTAGAACTATTTACCGAAGATATTACATTATTATCTTGATTATTGTTAAAATTCTATATTGAATTTGATCGGTTTATTTATACACTTTTGCGTTCTTCTTGATAAAATTATAAATCTATAGATTATTTAATATCTTCATAATTTCTTGCTAATGAAGATCGAATTGATTCTGATTTAGGTTGGTATTCTAAATTAGGATTGATTTAATTGTGTGTTTCATTTAATTTTTGATAATTCTTTACTTTCATTTTTTTTTTATTTAATTTTTTTTTATATTTTATTATTTTAATTATTTTGTATTAATTATTTGTATTTTGTGTTATTTTAATAATTCTTTTATATATATATATTTATATTTAATATTTCATTTAGATATTTTTAACAAAAGATATTCATTCATAAGTACTTCTTTTAAATATTAACAAATTATTTATTTTTTGGTCTTTTCCAATTTAAAGTTCATTTATTTTGAATAATTTAACATATATTTTAATTATATATATTTTATATTTTTATATAGTTATCATTATAATTAGAAAATTTAATTTTAACTTTTTTGATAATTTTTTATTAAACAAAGTAAATTTATTTTTTTATCTTTTTGTTTTTAAGAAATATTAAATAATAAATATTTAATAATTTTAATTGCTTTGCAATTTATAATAAACAAAAGTTTGTTTGATTCTTATTAAAAAAAATTATTATAAATTAGTAAATTTTATTAAATAATAATATATTATTAAAAATATTATTTTTAAATAATATTAATAATAAAAACAAAAAAAATCCATATAAATATTTATCTCAAAAAAAAAAAAATTCAAACAAATTAATATTATCATTAATAAAAAAATGAAAAATAATAAATATAAAGGATAAAAAATAAAATTATCAAACTAAGAAATTATCCAATTAAAACATGAAACTGGTTAAGGTGCTTTTTCCTACGTATATTAAACATCTAACCCTAAATACGTTGCAAAGATAATGAACCGAAACTACACACCAGCATTTACATCATACTAAAACGAGTTAAATGCCTATGAAAAATTAAATACACATCCCAATATAATCAAATACCTAAGTTCAGCCCAAACAACTATTTGTAATGACTAAGTATGTATATTAATAATTGAAAACTGTCCCAAAGGTTCTTTATTTAATCTTATGTCATTACTACCACATCATCAACTACAAGAGAATTAGATAATTCGAATAATATATGATATAACGCATGCCTTAAAACACATTCACTCACATAATCTAATACACAGGGATGTCAAAATAGAGAACGTGCTCTATGCGGAAGATAATAATTTTAAATTATGTGATTTTGGATCTATAACAGATAAAATAATACCCGAAATCGGATTAATAAAAGATATCTAATAAGTACAAGAAGAAATTGAAAAAAATACAACTCCCTAATACCAAGCCCCTGAATTGATTGATTTATAATTATATAAAGATTAAAGTATTAGTTAAAAATTGGATATTTTTGCTTTAGGAGTTCTAGCTTATATTTTATGTTTCCAAAAACCGCCTTTTGATTCTAAATTAGCAGCGATTAATTGCCATTGTTTTTGGCCGGAAAAAAATGAGTTTTCTATAGAATTAATTTAACTGATTTAAAAAATGCTTTAGGAAAAAGCTTGCGATAGATTGGGGACAGAAGAAGTTATTTTTTATATTGAAAATGTTATTGGGTTTAATAAGTGTGATGGGGTTATTGATTTTCAATTGTTTAATTAAAAAAAATTAGGAGAAAATAAAAATATGTCTTAGTCGATTAAAACCATCTTTTATAGAACACTTACGGATACAAAAGGATGGAGTAACTTTTTTTTTTTAGTTTTTTTTTTATTCTATTTTATTTTTAGTTTATAGTGCAATATTAAAAGATTAAAAAAATTAAAATAATATATATATATAAAAATTGATTTAAAAAGCAAATAAAAATAATTAGAAAGTAGAGAAATTTTATAATGAAGTTTAGATTTTAGTTAACGAAAATTAAAATAATTTAATTATTATAATTAAAGTTTTGATTTTAATTCATTAATATTTACTTTAGGCACCTATTATTTGTTTTTAAAGTTAAAAAATACAATAAATACTAAATGAAATTTAATTGATTTTGTAAAAAAGTTCAAATAATTTTTTTACTTATTAAATTGCTTTAGATTATTTATAAGTTCTTTAATAAAAAATATCAATAGGATTATTATATAAAGACTTTTTTTCAGGAAATTTTTAAAATTTGAAAGAAAGCTAGTTTTAAAATAATTAATAGTGTATTGATAATTTATTAAAGTATTTTAAATAAATCACTTATTTTAGTAAAAGTCTTCTGAATATTTATGAATTATGGCATATTTAATTATAAATTTCATATTAAGTTATTCAAGAAATTTATTGTTTATTAGATCTATTAGTTTAATAATTTGAAAAATAATAAATACCTGCATAATAAACTATAAATGAGTTATAGTATGAATATTATTAATTTAATAAATTTGTAATTAAATGTAAAGGTCTTCAAAATTGTGTAATTTTGCCTGAGAAAAATTAAAAAATAATGCAATATATTAAAAAAATAGATAATAAAATGTCATAATAAAAGTAAGATTTAAAATAATAAGAAAACTAAATTAATATATATTAAAATATTACAATATTTAATTAAAATTAATTAATAAATATATAAGAAGTTAAATAATAAATTAACTAAATTGATTAAGTTTTTGATTAGTTTTAATAATATTAAAATACTAATTGTCTAAATGAATAAATATAAAAAAATGCAATTTAAAATTAAATAGATAATAAAATTTTAATTGAATAAAATGATTCAAAATAATAATAAAATGAATAAAGTGAAAAAAATATATAAAATTATGAAATCGAAGAAAATAATAAAAAAGAGTTTTAATAAATTAAAAATAAAATAGATGAAAATTAATTAAATTAGGAAAATATTAACTTAAAAGAATAAAGTTAATTTAAATATCAAAATTTAAATGAAAAAAAAATAGTTAATAAAATATTTAAAATTAAGAAAGCTTAAATGACTAATAAGCGGATTAATAGAATAATTGTATTTTATTAGAAATTGGTAATAATCAAAAAGAATAATAATAAAATGAAGATTAATTTAATGACTTTAATTTGAATAGTTTATAATTAAACAAAAAATAAATGAGTGAAAATTGCGATTTTTAAGACGATGAAAATATAAAAATTGTAATTTAAGATAGTTTAATTAATAAAAATGCTATATTTTTAGAAAAATTATAAAGAGAAATTTTTTTAGTTGATGATTTTATCAAATCTTAAAATCAATATTTTTACTGTTTTAAGAATTTGACAATTAATTAAAAAATTGGAAAATGTAATTTTAATTATATAAAGTTTATATTTAATTTTTACTTTTTAAACAAAACAAAAATAAGAATATTTTAAAGGACAATTTTTAAATAATGAAGTATTTATTAGTATTGTAAATATAAATAAGGTTAATATACTTTAATTTTAGGATTTTTTAGAAAATTAAAATAAATATCAATATTTTATTTAAATTTTAGGATTTTCATTTAAAAATGATAATTTTTATATTATAGAAAAATAAGAAGAAGATTATTATATTTTAGAGAATTTATTAAAAGAAAATGTTGATTAAAATAATAAAGAATTAATATACTATTCATTTGATTAAAAAATGTTATTTATAAAGAATTTATTGAATATTTTAATTGAAATAAAGTAAAGTAATTTCACACATTTTTATTTATAAAAAAAAAAGTGAGTAAATAAATATATATTAAATAATTATTTAAAATTAATTTATTTATCTTTTACATATTAATAAATTTTAAAAGTATATCTATTAAATAAAATTTGAGATAAATTAAGTTTAGTTATTTAATGATAATAAAGGTATATTTTAAATTTTTCTTAAAAAATTAATTATTTATTTAATAAAAAAAGAATAGTAAATAATTAATAAATTAAGAAGCCGAAATAGAAAATATAAGTGTAAATTTTTATAATTATTTTATTATTTATTATAATTATTATAGGTGATTTTATAATAATTAACAAATTATAAATAAGAGAAATAATAAATTGATTATGAAAAATAAGTAAAACAATTTTAAATATTTAAATTATTTATATCATATTAATTTAGTTACAACATATAAATTAATTCGTTAAACTTATATATAAAAATGAGATATCTATTGAGGAAACTGAAAATTATTTTTTATAAAATAATATTATTTAACGTTTAAAATGAAACTAATATAATAGGTAAAGTTTATTAATTTATAAATAAATATTAAATTGACATTTTTAATTTAAAAAATTATTATATATAAAATTTTCGTTTGTATTATTTATTATTTAAATTTTTTTTTTTAAAAAAAATTAATTGAAATTAATATTATTATTTCAAGTATAAAATTAATTAAAAGTCCTTATTAATTTTTTGCTTTATTATTTTTAAATTTTATCTTAATTATAATTATAATTAATTTGTATAAGTAGATATTGTAACTGAAATAAAATAATCAAAATTACAACTTATTTTTTTATATAATTTTGTAATTTAATTAAATATTAAATTTGTATTTTATTTTAAATGAAAAAAAATGAAAATACATATTAATAAAATACTAAATAAATTTTCTATTAATTTAGTAGACATTTTAAAAATAAAAAAGAAAGAATTGTTTTTATTTTATCTTTAAAACATAATGAAATAAATAATGAATGTTTATAAATTATTCTTATATGTATAAAAGATATCTAATAATATTCTGATATTTATTTATATCAAATTAATTCTAATTATAACATTATAAAAGTGTAGTGTAGTGGATGCACACCAATCATATTTAGACTGGAAGCGTAGGATCGAAACCTGCCACTTTTACTCTTTTTTATTAGTTTTTTTTTTAAAAAATAAATTTAAAAGGTAATATTTATTTAAAATTAAAATTTTTTTAGATATATTAAAAAATATTGAATGAAATATGTTAATCATTATTTTTAATTAGTAGCCAGCCACTTTTATAAAAATTGTTTATATATTTACATATAAAATTATTTTAATTTAATTTATAGGTTTATATAAAATTAAAAATGTTATAGATGACTAGTTGAATTTCTTTATATTTATTTTTTATTAAAAAACACATCTGTTGTAAATAAAATTTATAATATGCTATTATCAAGAACTTTTAAATTAATTACTTTTTAATACTAAGAACTTTTTAGGAATAATAAAATTAAACTCATCGTAATAAATTTACTATTTTGATTTTGCAATTTAATTTACTTATTATTAACTACCAAAAAGTTCAATTTTTTTACTCATTTTTAATTATTTTATTTTTTTAATTTATTAATTTTTTACATTCTATTCTAATTTATTCATAAATTAATTAATTTAATTTGCCCTATCTGAATTAGGGAAAATCTTATCGATTTTTAGTTATTTTTAATTAAAAAATTAAGAAAGAGTATTCTTTGTCAAATCCAAATTATTAATTTCGAACTAATTAGTTACATGCTTTTATTTTAATACATATCTATCTTTTATATCTAACAAAACTTTTTTATATTTTTTAATTAATTCTTATGATTATTAAATTTAAATTTTTTTAACAATGACACTTTATTCACTTTTTTTTCGTGAAGTTATACAATTATTACCATTAAGAGATTATATTTTATGACTTTCATCCAGGCTTTAATTATTTTTGATTTTATTTCGAAGTAAATTTATTTAATTAGTGTTTTATGTTTGTTAAATTTCAGTTTAAAAATAATTCTATCTTACTGTTTTTAGTTTATATTATTCTAAATTATTATATTTTTATTATGTTTCTTATTCCTATTATTATTTTTCGAATTTTTAGCTTTTATAATAGTTTATATGATCATCGATTTTCTGTTATCTCCAATTTAGTTTTTATGTTAAAAAATATTGTTTTATTTCATTATAACAGTTATTTATTTTTAAATAATATAAATACGTTTCTATTTAGATTTTCATTAGTTTACAATGAGATGATTTACAAAAAACAGAATGTTGTCTATATTTATTTTCATTGAAAACTTCTTCTTCACCAAAACTTGATTTTTCAGACAATATACATAGTTTTATTTAATTTTTTTATGTCTTTTTATGAATTTTTGGGGTCGAAATGCTTTTTATTAATTCTAGTTTTTACATTATTTAACTTTTATTTTATAAATCTTTTGAACTTAATTTAGAAAGTTATAAAGGTTTTAATACCTCTTCTTATTATTGTGCACATAAAAATAATTTTCTTCTTTATTTTACTTATCCTTTAATATATAAAGGCTAGTTTAAAAGATAACTATTTTTTATTTCACTATAGTATTTATCTACATCTTCGGAGAATTATTATATTATTTTTTATTCTATTTGTTGATTATTCTTTTCTAGTATTAGTTCTACATCTCCTTCTAATATGTAATAAATATAGTTTACTTTGTCTCCTTCTTTATATATAGGCGCTCCTATATTATACAATTCTACTTTAGAATTTTATATTAAAGTTTCAACTTAAATAGAACGGAAATATCTTTATTTTTTTATTTTTATATTTTATTAAAATTAAAGATTTATTTTACTTAAAAAGAGTACTATTTTTTTTTAAATTTTCTATTTCTTAGATTATTTTAGCCTTTATTTTATTTTCATTAATAAAAAATAAAAATAATACATTTTATATATTATATTTTTTAAACTTAAATTATAAAAATAAACTTGCAATAAATACAAATAATTATTAATTATTTTATATAATAATAAATATTAATGAATAAAATAGAATGTATATATATATAAAAGAAGAAAAAAAATTAAAAAAAATATTACTTTAATCCCTATATATTTATGGTAACTATCATAACTTAAAACTGCAAAATGACATGCTTCATTACTAATTAAAGTGGAGGTTCTTTTATCATTATGCCTAACAGCAATATCACCAAAGTAATCCAACATATTGTATTGTTTTAATATTTAAAAGTTTGGATATTTCATTATTATATATTCTTCAACTGATAGTTTAAAAAGTTATTTATACTCTTAATATTCTTTTTGGCTAAAGTTACAATCATAGTCATTTAAATAATTAGTTATAATTTATTAGTTATGGTCAGGAATTAATATGTGTGCACTGCCTGATAATATTATATATATTTTTTTTCCTTTTTCCCCATATTAGAAAATCTTTTCTAAAGGACTGAAATATTCATAAGTTAATGTTTTTATCAGTTCTAAAAATAAATTTGGGTTTTCTTTAAATTCTTATTGATAAAATTTATAAAATTGAGTTTATTATATACAATTATATATTAGTTTATTTTCATTTTCTGATCTTTATTATTTTTTTAAGATTTATATTACTAAATTTAAGTTATATTAATCTGTCAATGTAAAATAATCTAATATTTCATCAATATTTTATGAATTAACTGTCTTTATTTTAGGGTTGATTTAATCTATTTTATTTTACGATATTAATGGTTTTATAAGATATTTTGTATTTCTTAATTTTTTTAAAAATTTGATAACCTATTTTTTTGATTTCATTTTTTTGTTATAAATAAAAAATTATTAAAATGGGATATATAATAAAAATAAAATTAATAAGAATTATTTCGTTAAAAAAATATTTATATTAAAACAAAGTAACTATTTAATAATAAATATATATTTATTATAATTTTTGTAAAATAATATTATATATCTAAATATTTAAAATAAGTTATTAATATTTTTATTTTAATTTAAAAGTTTTACATAATAAATTATTAAAAAAAAAATTATTAATTATTAAATATAGTTTATTATATATATAAAATAATTAATTCAGTTTTTATTAAATAAACATAAATGAAATTTCTAATTATTTATTAATATAATATATTAATAATAAAATTTAATTATTAATTATTATTAATAGTTAAAAAAATTTTCTTTTTCTTTTTACTTTTATATAATTAATATTTATATGTATAGTTAAAATAAATAATGTATATGTATATATATGCCTTTTTTTTTAAAAAAAAAAAATAAACATTTTCCTAAATATATTTTTATTTTTCTATTTATTTTTCTTAATATTTTTAAAAAATAATATAAAATCATTCTTTTTTTAATAAGGAGGTTTTCTCATTTCTTTAACTAATCTTTAAAAAACTTCTTCTTCTTTTTATTTGCATTAATCTATATCATAATTTGGATTTAAAAGAGGATAATCAAGACCTTTCAATATAAAAAACAAATAAATAAAACAATTTAAAATTAAATTTTATACCATATTTTTGAAGTCTTTCTCTTTTTTATTCTATCCAATTAACAATTTTAGATGCATCCTACCATGATCTCATAGATTGCGCTTAAGCACCTCTGATATGAGGTGAAGTTAAATCAAGAATTTAATCTGCAAATTTGTGCTTTTTTTTAACAAAAAAAAATTAAAAATAACAATTAATATAATTGCCTTAAATATAAAAATACATTAATATATTCACGATGATAAGCCTAAGGAAGAAGGAATACTATTTTACGAACTTCATTATTTAAACGTGTTCTATATTCATTTAATAGACTTTCGCCCAATTTTAATTTTTCTTTAAATAAAAAATAATCGAATTAAGAAAGATCGGGACGATAATTGTCAAATATGCTCCTTCTGTAAATAATTTGTTATTATCTAGTTAAATTTCTTGTATTTGTTATAATTTATCTTTTTTCGTCAATGGTTTATTCGTTATCGTTTAAAGTTCCACCAAATATCATTTTATATAATATCTTTTTTTATTAAATATATTATATATAATTTAATTTCCTGTTTAGTTTTTTATATAATATGAAATAATAAATTAAATTAAAATATTATATATATATATATATATAAATGATTTATTTATTTCCCATAATGATATTATCTAAAATAAGATAAATATATGAAAAATAAAAATATTTTTGAATTTTTAGTATTATTTTTATCAATATATATTTATTTTGACATTTTATTTTTATTATATTTTATATAAATTTATATTTATATAATGAAAAATATTTAATATATATTATTTTATTTATTTTTAATTATTATATAAATAATAAAATAAATACAAAATAAACAAAAAAAATGTTTAGAAACAATCTTAATTATCTAATTTATATATTATAAGTCCACTATATTATTATATTTAAAAAAAAAAAAAAAATACTAAATATCAATTTGCTAAATGTTTTAATAAATAACCTGTTTCTTAAAAATATTATAATTTTTTTAGACAACTTAGATTTTACATTCACTTTTATAAGCATTTTAGCATATATATAATAATATAGGCATAAAATAACTTTAATATATTTGCAAAATGTTACTCAAGTTATATTTAAAGCTTGCATTTTGTAGAAACACCAATAACTTACATCTATTTGACATAATATTATTTTATAAAGTATATAAAATGTTAAATAAATAAATTAGAATTCTTAATTTCATAATGAAAAAATTTCAATTTTATCAAAAAAATTAATAATTTTAATTTGTGTATTGTCTATCTAGCTATTTGATTGTTAAATGTACTTAAAATCTAAAAAAAAAATAAAAAAAAATATGTATTCAAACCTAAATTATAATATTTTAAGTATGTAAAGTTACTTTTTGGAGATAAACTTTTATTTTTAAATATCTTAATATATTTAAAGAAGATAAAATATAATAAACAAAATTATTATTAATAAAAAAGTCTTCTGGGGGTAAGAAAATCAAGAAAATATTTATATATATCTAAAAAATAATATAAGTATAAAAAATTTCTACTAAAGGATAATAATATTAAATAATTAATTTCTTTTATTAATAAAATACATATTTTAATCTTAAGAATATTTTTAAATTTCCATAATTTTATCAAAATGATAACTGTAATCGATTTTATTCTGATTTTATATAAAATATTAAAAAATAAAAATATTTTAATATGTAAATAAAAACTATTTGAAAATTATTAACTTTATAATAAAAAAAAAATTATATATATTTTAAAATTATTAAATTTGAAAAATAATAAAAAAGATTAATAAAAAAAATTCTAAAAATAATTATTTGTTATTTAATAAAAAATAATATATAATAATATTAAGTATTTTTAGAAAAAAAATTAAATAAAAATATTATTAAACCATTATATATTTATTTAAAGAAATTATAGATATTTTAATATAATTAATTTTTTGTATAAATTATATAATTAAAATATCAAATTAAAGTTAAATTAAAAAAAGAGTATTAAATTATGCGAAGATTAATAATTAATATAAACGTATTAAAAAATTATAAATGATAAATAATTTTTTATAATTTATTTTATATTAATAGAAAATTAAAAAAAATATATATATAATATATAAAAAAATGTATTAAATATATATATATATATATATATATATATATATATATATATATATATAAAATTTTTTTTAAAAAAATTTAGCCTATATTTTATTGTTTTAAATATTTTGTTTTTTTGTTATATATTATTAATTTATATCAATTAAAAACATTAAGCAATTAATTTTTTATATTTATTATCCACATATATATTATTACTTATTAATTTTTATAGTGCTTAATAATGAATATAAAAAGTTAATTTATAAAATTATAAAATAAAAATCTAATATTAAATAAAGCTAACAACATAAATAATAGTCTAAAATGTAATAAAAACAATACAAAATTGGATATAATTCAAAATATTCCTTATCAAGTGTATGAATAATCAACCTATAATTAAAAAATTACTAATTGTATATCATTAGAGTCAACTTTTTCACAAATAAGTATTTCAAATTAAGCATTATCAAATTTGGATTATAAGTAAAATATAAATATCAATATGATTGGTAAAAATCCATTTTTTATTGTTATAAGCTTTTTACCATTAAAGTTTTGTTTAATTTAAAGATTAACATGTAAATATTGGAAAAATTTAATAGAAAACTATTGTAAGGATTATTATAATATATTGTGTGATGAATTAAATCAATTATAAATATAAATATCTATAAAATAAAGAAGTGAGTAAATGCATTCTAGCTTTGTTAAAGGATGGTAAGGAATAAGTTAAGGTCATGATTTAGTTTTTTAAATAAATGATAAATAAATAGATGAATTTTATTTATTATAAAATAAAAGTGATTATGTTAAAGAAATTAGAAGTTTACTACATTAAATTATCGGTCTTAATATTACTTAGAATAAAAATATAAAAAAATATACTACTATGTATTATAAACAATTAATTAATGAATGTAAAAATGTTTAGGTGTTAGATATTCCATATATCTTATAAGTTTTTAAATATATATCTATTTTATTTTATTAATATATTTTATAAAAAAAAAATTAGTATAGATTAAAAAGGTTAAAAGATTAATCAGATAATATTAGTGATAATTAATTGAAAGGTTAAAGTTATTATATTTATGCATTTAAAGTGCTTTTAATGGGATATTTATAACTTATAAATGAAATGAATCCTTTATAATCCTAAAAAAATAGAGAATAATGCATAATAGAGGATACTAGACTTATAAATAAAATATTCATTTAAAAAAAGTGAAAAAGGGTGAAATAAAAAGTAGAAAATTTCATATAAAGACGAAATAACTATTTTATTTTTAATATATATAATAAAATATATTTAAATAAATTTTAATACTAAAATAAATATATAATTAATATATAGAAAATATAAAAAAAAAAAAAAAAAAATTCTAAATTAACTATTTAACTAAAAATTTTATGTAAGATCCTTAATAAAGTGATAAATTTAAATATTTAAAAATATAAACTAATTTTTGTTTTTATCAAAATAAAATTTGAAAAATATAATATAAAATAGATTACTATAAAATATTTTTAACAATTTATATCTATGAATATAAATATATATTTGTAATAAAATATTTATAATATAAATATAAAAATATATATATATATATATATATTTTATATATATCTTTTTTTTTATATTTATTAATCATTTATTTTTCAATAATAACTTGATTTTTTAGTTGTATTAAAAGTACTAAAAAATTTACTTTCTTTAATTTCCTTTTCCCATGTAGAATGTTTATCTAAACCAAAATAATTACTTGTTGCATTAGTTATTTTAAAATTTTCTTTATTATTTTAATTTATTTTTTCTAACTTATAATCTAATGAAATTTTTCCATATTTTGAAGGCCTAAATCTCCAATCTACTTTTTTTATTGAATTTTATTTTAAATATTCTTAAAATTATTCTGGTAATAAATTTAAATCTGTGTCTCCAAATTCTTTAGCACAAGTTGGAATTTTTATTCCTTTATAATCTTTTTATTAATGAAATTTATATAGAAAATAAAATTATTTATTTGAAAATTATATTAAATATTTACTTATTGGAAATTTATACGACCTTTCTGACATATACATACGATCAAAATCCTAATTTCTTAATAAATTAGCTCGTAAAATAGGTATTTTATTGAAGTCAGAGTTTGTATAGCCTGGACCTGTAAAAAATGAAATTTATTTTTTTATTTTATTGATAAGAATTTTTATATATTTAAAATCTACTTTTCCAATTTAATTTTTGTTTCAATTTTAAATCTTAATATAACTCCTCTTTAGTTTTTAACTTTGGTAGATATTTTTCAATGTCTTCTGTTTTCAATGGTTATATTTTTTTATTTTCTATGTATTTTATATCATCAAATTCTTTTTTAGATACTTCTTTGTTTTTTTATAGTTCTTACATAAATTATTGAATATTATTAGAAAACATTTTATTTTTAATTTTTAAATAATTTAAATATTATTAATTTTTATAACAAATAAATAAATAAAATTTCATACAAAAAGTTTTTAAATTTTCATTTAAAAGAATTATATTATTATTAGTATATATTCTTATATTTATGAATTTACTAAAATATAACATTTAATAGAAATTTCTTTATAAATATAATAAATCTATTATATATTTTAACTATATAAAAACTATTTATTATGTTTATATATTAGAAGCTGTTAATAATATTCATAATAAAAAAGAATAAAAAGCTTTTAATATATATCATTAGAAATATTTGATAAGTAATTATGAAAAACATTAATATTATTTAATTTAATTACTTTCTCTTTTTTTAATAATTTCCTTTTTTATTAAAAAAATTAGATATTTATAAATATTTAAGGCGTTTTAAATTTTTCTATATTTTTTTCTTTCAATATATAATTAATTGTTATTCAATTTATATATATAATAATTTGTTTTAAAAAAATAATTTATTTTATATTATTATTTTAATATAAATTAAATTTTTTTGACTTATTTTTTAATAATCAAATTCTTTTATATAAAAAATTGTTATTATTAAATTTCTAATAATTATTTTGTTATTATTTATACAAAAATAGATTAGAAACACATTCTATATAGATATTATCTTAATTTTTTTTATAAAATGATATTATAAATTAATTTTTTAAATATACATTTTAATAATAATAAGTTATTTTCTTTTTATATATTTTATATTAAACTTTAATCAATTTTAGCAACAAAAAAAAGGTAAAAGTAATATCTATTTAATTGTTTATTTTTATATATAAATATTCTGTTTATTATGAAGGATTATTCATGCTAGAAAATAAAAAATTCTAACATTTTAATTTTCAAAAAATACAATAAAATGTAATATTTTTTAATTTATTACTTTTTTCAATTAAATTTGTTATAGTTAATAATATTTATTTATCTAATATCTGCTTTTAAATTTAAAATATTACAAATTTAATATAAATTATTGTCAAAATAAATAGAATTTAAAGGCTTTCTTATAATTATGAGATTTATTGATGTAAAATATTATAAAAATAAAATATATTTTAAATAAAAAAAAAAGATATATAAATTAATAATTAAATTTGGATATAATAATATAAAAAAAAATAAGTAAATATAATAAGAAGATTAATTAAAATATTTATTACTACGATTCTTCTAGTAATTAAAATATTTAAAAAATAAAATTGAAACTTAATTTTGAATAGAATAATAAATATTTAAAGATTTTAATATTATTTATTCAAATTTTTAATAAAATTTTATAAAATATCAACATATTTACATATTATTTTAATTATTTTTTATACAACTTATTTTAAGGTTATTATTCTCATCTTTTTATTATTTTATTAATAAATTTACTTCTTTTAATTTTTCTTCATAATAATATTATATTTTTTGTTCAATCTTTATTTTATTTATTTAAAAAAAAAATGAAAAATAACATAATGTTTTACAAATTAAGATGATTATAATATTTCAATAGCTTTTTATTTTTATTTTTATTCTCTTCTTTAGCAATATTCTAAGTCTTTTTATAAATTCTTTATTTTATCATTAAATTATTAGTTATTATACTCTAACTGATCTTCGAAAATTTTTTTATATTTACTTATTTAATTCAAAACAGCTTATTTTTCTTTTAAAATTAAGAAATTTTTTAATTTAATTAATTATTTTCTTAATTCAATTTTTAGCTTTCTGTTTTTAATTTTTCATTTTAATTTTTTGAGTCATTTAAAGCATTAATTTAATTTTATGAAATTATCTCTAAATGGTTTTTCTCGATTTAAATTTCTTTCATATTATTAATATAAATTTATTCATTTAACTTTATATATTTTCTTATTTTTTTTTTTCTTATTTTTTTTTATTTTTTTTTACTTTTATTTTTTCTTAAAGTTCTATAATTATTTTTTCCTTTTAAAAAATTAAATCCTTATTTATTTCCTATTATTAGCCATATTGAATTTCTTAATTTAAATTTATATATAAAGTATTTAAATGGGTGAAATCTTTAAAATATGTTTCTGATTTTTAAATTTCATTTTGAAGTTAAGTTCTTAATTCTTTTATATATTCTTCATTTTATTAATTTATTTATTTTTAACTTAGTTTTATATTATTTATTATTTTTTCATATTAAATTTTTAAGCCATCTAGTTCTTTTTTGTGCTTTTTTATATAATTTTAAATATAAAATAGCAAAAAATTAAATACGTTTTAATCAATATTTTCTAACGTATTTAATAATTATTACTCTTTTATTATAGCTTTGTCTTTTTCTAAAGCATTCTCAACCATTTTTTATTTTAAATCTTTTTCTAATTTAATAAAATGTTCTTATTTTTAATTAAAATAAAATTATTTTTATTCATAATTATTTGCAAGTTTAGTAACTTCTTCGATTTCGTTTCTATATTTTTCATTATCTTGTATTATTCTTAGATTCTCTTCTTATAAATATTGAATTTCTTATTCTAATTTAGCAATAATTTATTGACTTTATAGCTATTAATCTTTATGTTAAATATTAGATTAATTTAATTCTTCTATTTAATTTGAATTAAGAGCTAATTAATCGGATAATTCTTTATTTAAATTTTCTATTTATAATTAATATATTTAAATTAAGTTTTCTTATTAATTTTTTAAAAAGTCATATTCTTATTTTTTGGTTTCAAATAATATATCCAACTCATTAAATTTAATAGCCTTTTAATTTAAACATTAATTTAAATTTAGAATATTTTAATATTCAATTTCGATTAATTTGAATTTCTAACTTTATTCATTAAATAATTTAATTAAATTATTTAAATCCTAATCTTTTATATTTAATAATTAATCCAATTAATTATATTTTTACTTAATTTTTAACATTTTTTTTATTAATTAATTAAAAAAAAAAATCATCCAAATCAAAATATTTTTAATTTATTTCTTAATTTTCTAATTATAATAAATTAATTCTTTCATATAAATCAATTTTTTCTAATTTTTACTATTTAAAAAAATATATTTTTAATTAATAAAAATATTATATATATATATATATAATATAAATAATAACAATAAGGATTTGCTGGATTTGTTTCATATTCTCCATTTTAATAAATCTATATTATTATTCTAATTTTAAAAATATTTTTATATTAATAAATTATAAAATTTACTTGCATTTTTTTTCGAGTTCATCCCTTAATAAATTATTATCATTAATTAAATAATTTCCTTTTTGTTCCATATCTCTATAATTTTCGTATATTTTTTCAATAAAGTTTTCCATTTCATATACTTATGAATCATATGCTTATAATAATGGTTATATAAACGACGTTTAATAATCAGATTTGATTTCTTCTGTATCTATTTCTTAAATATAATCAATTTTATCGAGTATACGAATATGTCCTGGATGAATGCAATATCTTTTTTATAAAACTGATAATTCTTTACCTAATCTAGTGTCTATTTTTTAATTTGCTTTTTTTTAATATTTAAATTATTTTGATTTACTAATATTATCTAAAAATAATATTTATTTTTTTAAAAAATTAATTTCATTCATATATTAAATTTCTGATGGTTTTTTATGTACAAAATCATTTTCTTATCTAATTTTTTAATCGATAATTACTTATTTTTGATCTATTTAGTTTATTTTTGAAAAAATACATATAAAAATGATTTTAAACTAACTTTAATCCATATTAATTTTAATGATTAATATTTGTTCAAAAAGTCTTTGATTTTTTATTTAATATATAATGTTTAAAAATAAATAATTTAAATTTAAAAATATGTACGTAAATATTTATTTTATATAAATTATTCATTAAATTAAAATTTATATAAAATTTTTCTTTAGTATATATAAAAGCAATATTTTACCTTCTTAATGTTTTAATATTTTAAGAATAGTTTTATAAAATATTTAGAATTTTTTTTTTTTTTTGTATTAATTTTTTTTTTTTATGTATTAATTACTATCATTTATTTTTAAATTCTGAAAAAAATAAAAATATTATATTAAAATTATTAACAAATGTTAATTAAGCAAAGCAATTCACGGAACGATATTTTTTAAAAAATATATATATTTATAAATTATAAAAAACTTCATAATTTAATAATTAAAAAAAGTTTAAAATCATTATATATAAATCTTAATAATCAAAAAATAAGAAACCTAATTTTTTATTTTTTTATGAAATAAATTTAGATAAAGACAAGTTAGATAGATATTATAAATAAAATTAAGATTTATCTGAAGTAACTAGCAATTAAATTGATATTATAGCAAAATGTTAAATTATAAAATAATTAATATTATTTTATATTAGTATTTAAATAAAAAAATACTTTGTCTATAATATAATAAGTATTATGAAAAATTACAATAATAACTTTATTTTTTAGAGAAAATTTGATACAAAAGTGTTCACAATATTAATATTATTATATTTCAATTCAAATATTAATTCTAATAAAAAAAAAATTAAAATCTGATTAAAAAGATAAAATAAAAAATAAGAGAAAATTTTAACAATTATTTTAAAGAATAATTTTTAGAGGTTTTTTTATAAAATAAACTAATTTATAAATTATTTTAAAGAAGTAATAATGTTTGATGATAGAAATTAGAAGAAAATAATAATTTAAAAAGCAATTTAATTAGACAAACTTATTAGTTTATTCTCTTAATAATAAAATACATTAAATAAGTAATAATTTTTTTTAAAAAAAAATTAAATCTCCTTTTATAAATTTTTAATTTGTATTTTTAGATAAAAAAAATTGATTAAATAATAAAATTTAAATTATTAAATAATAAAATCTGGCATTTAAATGATAAATAAAATATAATTAAAATAATGAAAATTAAGATAAATAAATATTAATGAATAATAAAAATTTCAAACAAGAAAATA